AGAGAGAGAGAGAGAGAGAGAGAGAGAGAGAGAGAGAGTCCACCAAAAATGTATACATATTTCAGGGAAAGACAAGTAGTGTGATGTTTTCTCAGCAGATGTGTTACCTTCATATGGGAGAATCCAGAGGATGTTGTATAAAACAGAAAACCCGCTATACTGTTGGGCCTTCGAGAAAAATCTGAAAATACATGTGCTGCAATCTCAATGACCAGTTACCCACATAGCAGTTTGCTGTACTAATAAATGTCTGGTAGCTATTGGCCACCACTTGGAGCAATTGCTGTAATTTTCGAATCCAAAGGTAACTTGTGGTAATCTCATGTCTCGATAAACTTAGTATTAAAATATTTATGTTAATTTTTCCTGATATATACTGTTTTTTTGGAATTCTCTCTCTCTCTCTGTCTGCCTGTCTTATCTGTCTTATCTGTCTCTCTTTGTTATATATATATATAACAAATGAGTTTTATGTTTAGGTTTGGGTTCCAACATATTACATTATGTAAATGCAAATATTCTAAAATTAAAAAAGAAATCTGAATGTAAAACCCTTCTCGTCCTAAACATTCCAGATTAGGGATACTCAATTGTTACTTTATACCTTTATATTTCCAAGTCACATCTCACTGTACGTGTACACCAAATTCTGTTTACCACTCACCAACTGATTGACATTTGAGTTATTTCCATTGTCTCTTTTGTGAATAATGCTGCTATGAATATTTGTGTTTTATTTTTCTTGTAGGATGTGTGAGTCATATGCCAATTCTGTGTTTAATCTTTTCAGAAACTATTTCCCAGAGATACTTCACCATTTTATATTCTCATTATTCAATAGTCCTTCTGATGCTTACGCATTGATATTTGCATGATGTAAAAATATTGCACTGCTCAGATGTGCATGACTGTTAATTATTTTTATTGTCAGATTTTAAAGTTCTTTATATTTTTATTGAAAGTTTAATTTTTTAAAGAGAGAGTCCATGATGTGGTATGATTGGGCCATGAAATAAAAATGTTTTTGAATTCCTCCTCTCTCCTCTCTTACTCCCCCCTTTCTTCCTGTTCCTTGTTTTTTTCTACACAAACTGCACAGTGCTTACTCTCAGCAGCAAACACTTCACCTTGACTAGAGCTGCTGACTCTGCTAAACAGTTCTGCTCATGTACTGCAACAGGTTTTTAAATAGATACAGTGGTGTTTTAATTTCCACTCATTCTATTCCTAATGAGTTTGAAGAGATTTTGTTAGATTTGTTTTTAAGTTAAATTGATTTTTGTGTAAGTTTTCTGAAAAGAAAAATGATTGAGTCCATTTTACGAATGAGCATTATAAACCATACGAGGGAACAAGAAAATTTGGACATATTCTGAGTTTCTCTCAAGTGTAGTAGTAGTATCTTACTGGGAGTTTCATACCTATCTTTTCATCTAATTTAGCTCTCAGAGCAATCACTGGTGATGTGAAGCAAACACATAGCGCTACAATATGACAGAGACAGTTTTCGTTTTAATTTTTTTTTTTTGTACGGGGGATTGAACTCAGGACTTTGCACTTAGCCAGGCAGGTGCTTACACCACTGAGCTAAATCCCCAGCCCAGCAGAGCCTGTTTTCAAATTTTGATTTTACATATACAGAGAGCAAAAATTTTATAACTTAGCTTTTCTCTGAAAATTATGGAGGTAGATGACATTTTAAAGTAATAAAAGGCGGGCTCCTCTTCCAAAAATAATACTTATGTACCTTTTTCATTTAAAAAATTGAAAAATCATCAGGGGAAATGTCTCCTGCTTTGACTTGCTTGTTAGAAGCCCTTCATAATGTATCATCAGGGTTACTTCTGTGGGTTGCTGTCCCCAGATGGGAACGAGGACAACAGGGTGGCTTGGGAGACTATGTGGAGGTGGCAATCACAGAGTCTGCCAAAATGTCTTATGAGGAAAAGAGAAACTTGTATAATATTGTAATATTAAATTTATTGAGACACCATGAGATTAATGCACGTCACCTTTGGCTTTTGCAATGACAAGAGATGCTCAGAGCAGCGGGCGTTAAGCTCCAGACATTTATTAGCACGGCAAAGTGCTGAGGTGTGTACACATTTTTTGTGGGGGTAGACTCTGTATAGTACAATGGGGCTATGAGATGACTCTCCTCCATTCACCTGGACATAAGCAGTGCCCAAGAGCCAGTCCCCAGACCTTCGGCCTCAGGCCCATTACCTAGAGAGAAGAGTAAAAAAGATCCTCAGAAGATTCTAAAACTCCAAATCAGGATGCATGTGTTGTAGAGATGCTGAAACAACCTACGATGGCCTTCTTCACTTGGAGCTTGTTAAAGGTTTATGCATCTCATCTATCTAGTTAAAATGGAGCAAATTGTGGGAAATGATAACAGAGTAGGTGCAACTGCTCTGACCTGCACGCTGTTAATCATGTTGGTCGTCATGCTCTGATAGGCCCCACGAGAGATTCCTTAGGCCCAGCATGAGATTTTAAATTCTTAAATCCACCACACCATCTTTTTTTCTGATAGTATGAGCTTGATTGCTCTGAACACACCTTCCCTCTTTAAAATTCACTAAACAAGGCTGGGAAATAGTTCAGTAGCAGGCGCAGCACTTGCCTGGCAAATGCAAAGTCCTGAGTTTGATTTTCCTCACCCCCATGCCAAAAAGAATAAAGTTCCTTAAACATCACTGCTTTTTTTCTTGCTTTCATGTGCCACATCCAGTTCTTAGTCATACACAAGAACCTGGAAACCTGTCCCAGACCCCATTAGCCATGGTAACAGATTTACAGTGTTCTCTGGCACAGCAAGTCTCCAAGACACTCAGAGGGAAAACAAAAGACGAATTTCCATTCAGTGATCCTCAATTTCATTGGGAATACAGGACTTCTTGAAACTTGAAAACATCAATGAAATTCTTAAAGATGTCACATTCATTCATTTCAATAACCTGTGATGGGTTGATTCCTTGTTATCACCTGACTTGATGCCCCAGCTGCATTTAAAATGATTAATCATACCTTCTGGACTGGAGTTAGAGGACATCCCACAGGTGAAGGACAAAATCTTCCACAAGACTGTTCCTGATTAAAATTAGTCATAAGTCTATGGAGCCATTCACATGACTTACTATAAATTTAAGGATTCCCATGCTCCCATCAATTTAAATTACAGTACCTATCTATATATCTGCATATATTTCTCTATAATCTGCCAAAATGTATACATCAGGAAGAGAAAAACTTGTGTAAATATTTTAATGTTAAACTTATTAAGACATCATGAGATTAATACAAGTTATCTTTGGCCTCTACAATTATAAGAGGTGCTCAAAGCAGTAGCCATCAGCTTCTAGACATTTATTAGTCCATTAAACTGAAGTGTGTATGCATTCTCTCTCTCTCTCTCTCTCTCTCTCTCTCTCTCTCTCTCTCTTTCTCTCTCTCTCTCAAATGTTTACAGGAAAAGGTGGATTATTTTGTCTCACTTTCTCCACATTCCATTAGTGGCCCCTGCTCCATATGGGAAACAATGACCTGACTTTCTTTGGACAAACTCATTCTATGTTCCTCTGTGCTCCTCATTGAAACCAAGGAACAAAACATGCACAATATAGTGTTTTTAAAAACATTTTTAATGAAGAAATAATTCCATTCCAAAATATAGACACACAATTAAATAGTTTAATCAATTCAAAATATAACATGTCCCCAGGAGGTTCCAACGCACATACACACATACACACACACACACACACGCACACTTACACACAAAACAATACTTAACAGCAATACAAAAAAAAATCCATACGATAGTAGTTTTGTTACAACACCAATGAATATTGTGAAATCTTTAGTGTCTCTGGATTGGTTATTTCAAATGGTGTCAAATTATAGTAGTCATAATTAAAAATGTCTCACAGATAATTAGCCTCAAGATGTAATGTTTCCAATTTTTTCTCTTTTTGGTTGAAAAGTAAAAATGCCCTTTCGTTAAGGACACAGTGGAGTTCTCATCTGTGGCTCTTTATGTGGAATCAGCTAAGGTGACTGCAGCAACCCAAAGTTGCTGTATTTACAAGATCTATCTACAGTTAACAGCCGAGAACTCATAAGGGAGGATGACGACGACCAAATTAAAGCAGACATCAGTGCTAAATTATGATGCAACAGCTTGGCTCATGCATATAAGAAAATACATAGTATATCACAACAAGGCCACACTCTTAATGCAATTCAGTTCACATTACTACTTACAAATGAACCTTCCCTGCCTTAGAGTAGATCATCCGAGAATCCATTTCCATAGTCTCCAGCACATCTCCCTCTGACCAACCAAACTTACCCCGACTTCCATCCTGACCAACCACAACAGATTCCTGAATCCTATACAGTAGATTTCTCCTTCCTCCCCTCTTCTATGAACGTGGTGCTATGGGGAGGTGGCTGTGTTAGACCAGTGCTCATTAATAGGTTATCAGCTCTGATGGAGATGAACATGATATTCACCATGGAACAAGAAAGAGACAACCCCCTTAAGACATAGTTGTATTGAATGGACAGGACAGATGACACCTGCTGGGTTTGTGTTTATAACAGGCTCCAAAAGTAAAGTTGGAGAGCCAATGAAAGAAACCCACCAAAAATCACGAAAACCCAAAACAACACACGCCATTTTGTCTCGGTTACAGGACAGGGGTGCTTGAGTCTGGTCTCAGTGCTGACGTGGAGCTAAGAGAAAGAAAAGGTGGCTGGTTAGTCAGAAATTGGTCACTAGTGGTAATTTCCAGAGTCCTTGCAATGGCTTTGTACGATGGTATCAACACCCGTGTGATGGGGTTGGTTGGCAATGGAAACTATGACAAGGGGAAGGTCTTCAGCAGAACAGTTCCAACCTTAGACAAACATTGAAATGTAGAAACACAAAGAGACCACAACACATGTCAGCTCAGTCCAGTCAGTGGCTGAGTGCCACTTGCAGGGTCTGAGTTCTGAATTCAAGAACCATCTGGCTCTGATTTTTGAGCTGACAGCAATGTAGGTAGCTGGGATATAGTGGTTTTCAATTCTGAGAATGAGGCACCAGTGGTCACCTGCTCCATCTAGAGAGGTATGGTTTCACAGAGGATGGGCGGTGCAAGAGAGATGAACATTAAGACATACCAACAAAACCCACAATACAATCCACCTGTGCAAAGAAATCTGAGAACCATGTAATTGTGCCACTTTGGTGTTAGCCTGGGCTCAGGGACATCTGTTAGGGGGGTTCTCTGGAGGGAGGTGTGAGCAGGTATATCCAGGGCCAAGGTGGGGGCTCTTACTGATCCCAGTTAGGGGATGCTTTCTGACCAAATGCAGAGGTGGGAGCATTTGAGAGGCCTCAAGAAAAGAGCCTGAAATTGTCAGGACACATGTTCCCAGCCAGGTACCCTCCAGTGCAGACCAGGTTCCAGGGTGGGAGAAGGTTTATGCCAGACCCTGAAGCAAAACTGAATTGAGGTTGACTAGAATCTCTCTTACGTATTCTGCAGCAAGTCTTTTCAGAGATTATTTGCTACAATTTGTTCTAAAGCAATGATTTTCAACTGTTAGCATGCATCCGAACCACCTGGGTGGTGGATTAAAACACAGACCCTTAAGCCCAATCCCCAGAGTTTTGATTCAGCAGGCAGGGGCTGGGACTGAGGACTCTGCATTTCTATGTTATTCCCAGATGCTGCTGCTGCTGCTGCTGCTGCTGTTGTGGGCACTACCTTTTGAGAACCACTGTTCTACCATGATGTTCTCTTTTTTCTTTTAAAGGAAAACCAGGAATTCCAGAGAAGCTGCTAATTTACGTATAATATGTCCAATATGGTGTGGAGGTCTCCCCTCATTCAGACTTGAAACAAACAGATTACTTTTCCATTTCCCCCCAGAGTCCCTAAGGGAGATATTTAGAGCAAGGGCCCTCAGGAAGGACCACCAACAGAGTCTTGTATCCTCTTGTCTTCAACAGTTCTTTTGCATTTCAGCTTCTCAATGAGTGCAAAACCCCAACTCAACACAGAGGAGCTTGTCTTACATGACCATAGAACACTGCATGCAGGACACCAGGTGGCCAGCTAAGGCAATAAACATTCAGAAATAAAAGGAGAGTGAAGGTTTGCAAGCGCACTTTAAGCCTGTACATTTAAAGCTGAAGGCCTCCAAATAACCTGATGGGGGCGCTGTGTGGTGCTGTTAAAGACATGCTTCCTAAAGCTAAAAAACGAGAGGAACGAGACCATGGAAAAGCATAGATCACTTCAGTCCGTTTGGGAATCTTATGGCACCTGTGGTTTATAAACAGCTTTAGTAACGAGTATTTCAAAACATAGTTCACAGTTTTTAAGAAGATCTGTGCTGATTTTAAAAACTAGATTCTATATAATTTGAATGTTGTCTTTTTGAATATGATATCTATTTGGAAAAAAAAATATTTACACTGAATTCTATGGCTGACTCATTAGAATAACTTGAAAGAAAACAACCTCCAGTTGGAAAGAAGCCCCAAACAATGGATTATTCCTGGTGTTTGGTTCAAGTCACTGCTCACTGAGACTTAGGGTCAACTGCAGACCAAAGACCCTTTTCGGCTTCTGGGCTCTGAGTGTAAACACTCAGGAACCAAATCCTTCAGGGTTAGTGAATAATTGCAAGTGGTTGTTTTTTTCCAGTTACAGTGGAAAAAAAATGTACAGTGTATATTAAACTGTTTTGCTAAAATCTCAAAGAATCCAGAAATCAGACTTCTAGCTCTGAATGGTATTAATATCATCATTGTAAACTGAATGGGTTCAGTAGCATGTGCAAAAGTTTAAAATGCTTGTTAATACTGCCCTCGTGTGCAGCTGCAGCACGAGTTCTTGGGGATGAGCCGTGCTACAGAAGATGTAGCTGATAAATTAGGTTTGAACAGAAGTCATTTTTCCCCCTTCTAGACCATACACCTATGAACTACAAATCTTAGAACAAAAAATTAGCTGCACTAAAGGCATCAGAACACATCATTAGGAGTGGGGTTTGTCGGGAGGTGCTGGGTGTGGCGGCTCCTCTCTCCGACGAGGCTGCTGCCCGCTGCTGTCTTCCTCCTCTTTGTGGGTACAGCGCTCTCCACCATCATCACTTTTCATGTTACTTTCATCATCTGTCTGACTATAGCTTGCCTGGGAATAAGGAATGTGTGATTTTTTTAAAAGAGGAGAACTGTTTCTAAATTAGAATTATGACTCTTAGGGTTCCCCTTTCCCCAGCACACACGCAGACACACACACACACACACACACACACACACACACACACACACATATGTACGCATACACACTCGCTGTTCTTCCTTCCTATGCCAATCAGGCAATCAGGGACCAATGTCCTGAGACACTGTACACTGCCACACTTTCTGGAAGAGAGGACAGAAAGTCCTCCTTGTTGAGCTGCTTTCTTAAGGCATATCTGAGCTTTCTGGAAAGTTTAAGTAACACAATCAGAAATACCTATATTGTCCTTTGAGAAAAAGGTAAAAACACTGACCATCACAATGCCCTCTGGATTTTTAAAAAGGTCACTTGCTATGGTTCAGGCCCCCAGTTTTGAAGTTAGGAAGTGAGAGGCCAAGGACAGTGACAGGCCACATGGCTAGAGGATGACAAAGTAACAAGTCTAAGACAGGAGTGGACCAAAATGGTGCCTTAGAGAACACTAAGCTGAGTACTAAACATCATGTATACTATTCTCCAAACTTGGCCAGTTGAAAAGCAATAACCCAAGAAATCTCTTTACTTGTGTAGTATATTGATGTGTGAAGTTCCAAGGAGCCTGCAAGTCCTATTCAAGCAGAGACTGGACCATCCATGTCTCTGGTATCTCACTTTCTGCTCCACCTCCATGGAGGGATTTGCCTTGGCAGATAGCTGACTGGCATCAAGCTGATGAGACCAGCTCAAGATCCACGGATAAGAGATGCATATATGCTAGAGTAATTATTGGTCTTGTAGCACAGTCATAAAGTCCAAATAAAAATGTTTTAATAATATAAACTTTTAAAATTTCAGTTGCATTTCTTGGATATATTAAGAAAAAATACAGGGCCCGGGGAGATGGCTCAGTGGAATAAGCACTTGCCTGGCAAGCACAAGCACCTGAGTTCAATCCCTGGTTTCACAAAAACAAAACAAAACAAAAAAAAAAAAGAAAAAGAAAAAATACAGTAGGATAGAACTAGCTACAAAGATGAAAACCTACTAGACTTTACAGCGTTCTATTAGATTTTAATTTAATTGTGCATAAGGGGCTGATTTAGCAACAGGTTTCCTAAAGTCCTATGGAATGCAGACTAGTTGGGTACCTAGTGCAATAAATAACTGAAATCACACTATTTAATTTTCCACTGCCAAATTCACAACAAAAGATTAATAAATGCCCGAATAACTTGAAGGTATTGAAAATTTTCTTTCTTTCTTTCTTTCTTTTTTTGGTGGAATCAGGGATTGAACTCAGACCCTTGCGCTTGCCAGGGATGCGCTTATTCTACTGAGCCATCTCCCTGGCCCCTGAAAATTTTCTTATTTAGGTACAAGATGAATCCAATGCCTGATTTAAAGTAGGATTATATAAAAACTATGTTTTTGAAAAGAAATGCTTTTCTAGGAATTAACCAGTAGTGTTTAAACAAAAACAAGACCAAAGTGTCCAAATTGCTGGCGCTAAGGGAAAGGGACTACAATTAAAGAGAAAGGTTTTCTCCTTTCAGACTATGTTATAACTGGAGTGAATATTTTCAGAGACTGCTCCTGGGAATTTTTCCACTGTAGTCATAATGAATCCAGAGAGGATGTGGTAATGCATTCTCAGATTTAAGGGAGGAAGAGTAGAACATGGTTAGTAAGATCCTTCCTCACAGCTCATAAAGTATATTTCATTGTAGGAATTATGTGTGAATTTGCTTTTTAATCTTAACCTAAAGACCGAGACAGCTAGCTCTACTTTTTACTTATTGAGATATTATAGAGTAAATATCTATCCATGCAAGTATCTATCTATCTATCTTCCATCATCTCTCTATATTTTTTAAACTAGCAATCATAGCAGGTAAAGTTTATTATCAGTTGCATTACGGAATTCTGTGGTTGGAAAGGACTACAAATCTAAAATTGACACAAGTCCTTGGCTAACTGCAACTAGATTACTGTGGGAAATGTTTAACTTTGAGCTATAATAGGATACATCTAAATGGCCATTAGTTCGAGCCAGACAAACCATCTAGATTTATGGGCCAGTGTAGCCCAAAGTCTCTCAAATCATTGCAATGTGGCTTAGTCTGGGCCATGTTTATAAAAGTTTATAAAAGTTCTGAGTTTTCATACACTTCCATTGCTGCTACAGAGCTCTAGGTCTTAAATAAACTGCTCCTAAAGTATGGTGCTCAGTGGCTGGAATATTTCTGCATGTTCAAAAGAAATGATAGTGTGCCTGCCATTGTGTCAAGATGTTTAAAAACTATATTCCAGGGAGTACAACTCCTCTGTGAGGTAGATGTTGTGACATATGTCATATACAGGAAACTGAGGCTGATACAGGTCTAATAACTTGCCCATATTTATGCTACTAGGATTTGGTGAAATATGCTGCCATATTTGAAATTGGCTCTAACAGAGTCCAAGTTCAGACCACTACGTTCAAGTGATCCTGCCAGCTAACTACAATTCTTTCCACATTTAAAACTACTGAGGATTTAACACATATTTAGGTAGATTCTTGGGGTGCTGTCACATACCACATAAATACTATTTTAAATTATTTTATATCCTTCTGAATTCCATAATAGATTTAAATTAGTTGTCTCCCAAATACAAGGCTGCAGAACTTTTTCCTGTGCTTTGATTCTTTGATTTATTTTTTCTTCTCTTTTTAAATTTAAAAAAAAATTTTTTTTGGTGGTACCAGGGATCGAACTCAATACCTTGAGCATGCCAGGCAAGGATTTATTCCACTGAGCTATCTCCCTGGCTCTGATTCCTTCATTTCTTTAATGATACTTTAGTTTGCCTTGACTTGTTAAGGTACACACTTTTGGTCTCTTAGGCCCTGTGTTCAAGGAGCTGACCTATCTAGAGATGCTGAGCAGGTAGATATCAGACCCTCAGAGGCCACAATGCATTGGTGATGGGGCCACCTTAGCTTCGTGGCCAAAGAAGCACCTGGAGCTTCTCTGGTGTATCAGTTTCCCTAATCAACAGAGTACAGTGTCAACTCCCAAAGAGGTTTGGGAAATTTCCTCTGGAGTACAGTGACATTATATACTGAGATGATTCTTTGATATTAGCGGGGAAGGAGGATGCTCTATCACACAGAAAGAAACACCTATGACAGAGTGATTGTGAATTTAGGCTACAAGTTATCAGAACTCAGCACACAGTGTCCATATTTCCTCCTAAATGAGAGGGTACTTACTTGAGAGGAGAGTGATAAAAGGATATTGCATTCAACCTTGCAAGCTGACCTGTGGGTGACAAAGGACACAAACCAGAAAGGTGACATGTCAAGTCAGTGATGCAGTCAAGCTGGTGAATTATTTGGCTGGAAGCCATGCACAAAGACAGAGAGAGTACATGAATGAAAGTAGCACTCTGAACCATCCAATCACTCCCTGCTCACAGAGCATCCAAGGAAAACCACTTCAGCTTCTCCAGAGCACATTATGCTTCAAGTGGGGACACAAGGGCTTGCTACATTTCCCAGCCCTTTCCCTGCCCTTTTTCTTGAAGTTACCAGGTATGGAAAGGTAAGGAGAGAGACAAAGAGCTTAAGACTTACCGGAAATAGTCACAACTCCAGTTGGGTCTTAAGACATTGATACGATTTCTCTTCACTTAACTCATCTAAGGCTCAATTTCTAATTTATTAAAACAAATACAAATCTAATGTTTGATGTAGAATGATAAAAAGTTGCCTTTCTTTAAAACAACATCTAGGGCTGGCCTGACTGCTCAGTGGACTAAAGTACCTGCTTAGGTTCTATTCCCATTGCGCTGGGCCAGCTCCCCCTGTGGGGCGTGCTGAGTGGGCAGCTGAGACTGGGTGTGGCGGTGCGTGCCTGTAATCCCAGTACTTGAGAGGCCGAAAGTAGGAGAATCACTAGGAGTCTGATCTACATAGTGAGACCCTGTAGAATCTGTCCTAAATACAGAAAAACAAAAAGAAAAAAACCCCCAACATCTACAATTTCAATGACTCCTTTCACCAAAATGCAGAAACTGATCTGAGCTCTAAGGGGGAGGGGTAACTGTCACCTCTAACAGTAGGAACCAGAGCACTGGTCATGTGGCCTCATCTCCCTCCCCCTTTGCCATGTAAAGTACTCATAGGCATGCTATCCCTCAGGGTTTCCAGGGAGGTCCCACCAGCTTTGTTCCAGGCTAATTCCTTTCTGTGGAGGAGCCACAGAAATCACAGAGGAACAGTGCACTCTGTGGCTTTGCAATCCGGTAACTATGCTTTTGTAGCACAGGTGCATAGCTCCACATACAGTATCATTCTTCTCTTTTGTATAATTAGAACACCATTTTGGTTTCTTCTCAAATATGGCTCTTCAGTGGAAAGGCCAGTGGAACATCCCAAAGGAGCAGCACTTTGGCTTTGTATTGTGAGGTGAAGTTGAAGGGCTTTGCTTTCTCTCCTGCTACATTCCACTTGGGAAAATATTTCAAGGCTTCATGTATAAATATACTAGAACTAGCAGAAAATTTCCCCCTCAGTTTCTCTGTCCTTGACTAGCAAAGTAAGAAAACATCACTGGTGTCCTAGGATGCGGATATTGCCCTAGCAAGTTGCCCAGCTTGTGTAGACATTGGACAGAAAGTCTGACAGGCAAACAATACCCAACAGAGCAGGGACCAGCAGGTCTCTGCCAGGCAAACCTCCTTGAGCCAACAACACATCTTCAACACCTGTGGACTTAAGAAAAAGGATGCATGCAGAGAGATAAACAAGGCTGTGGAATTACATCCCAGGAAACTGTGGTGCCTTAAGCACAAGTGATTAATCACATTTAATCCCAGTTGCATGATCAGTGGCTCACACCTGTCATCCCAGCCTCTGGAAGGCTGAAGCAGGAGGACTACAAATTATGAATTCTCAGATAGGTAGATACACTCCAGGTTATCTCAAGATTGTGTTATCTTCACCCCACTGAACCTGGGCCTAGAGGTTCTCTGGTATTTCTCAGCGAGTCTTTTCACCCTTCCACTTACATTTGACATGAGGTGGGCAGTGGGAGAGATTGTGGAGGTATATGAGGGAGGAGGTAGTCATGTTGTTTCAGTTTCCTTGTATTGTTTTTTTTTAAACACCATCTTTTCTTTTTTCTCTCCTTCCCCTTCCTCCTCTTTCTTCTTCTTCTTCTTCTCTTCCCCTTTCTTTTTCTTCTTCTCCTTTCCAGTACTGAAGACTCAGGGCCTTGGCCATGTTAGCAAGTGCCTTATTACTGAGCTACATCACCAGCCCCTTTATATTTTTGAGGTAAGGCTTGCCTGAGCTGCCCAGGCTGGCTACAAACTTGCAATCCTCCTGCTCAGTCTGCCAAATAGCTGAAATTGGAGGAGTGCACCACCACACTGAGCCTTCTTTTTTGATTTATGAAAACACAGAATCTTAATAATCTTGGAGGAGTTTCGATTGTTCATCACTATGTTCCACTAATGTCTCAGGCCCCCTTTCACTTTTCAGACCAGAACTAATAAACATATACAGTAAGTGACAGCTACAGGAAGTGTGGAAAGCTGAGCACAGTGGCTCACACCTGTCATCCCAGCCTCTGGAAGGCTGAGGCAGGAGGTCTACAAATTCAAGCCAAGCCTGGGCAATGTAGTGACTTAATGGAACCCTATCTTAAAATTGAAAATTTTAAAAAAGGGGCTGGTGATGTGACCCTGTGTAAAGACTATGGGTTCAGTTCTAGTACTGAATACATGGGGAAGCAGGGTAGCAGGGAAGAGCACCGGGAAGGGCTGACAGCCTGGGCTGGGCTGTTGGGGGAGGTGAGCTGGGCACCTGGCTGCGGCCTACCTGGTAGGCTTCATCGTGAAGCTTCTGTTTCAGGTATTCCTCCATCTTCAACTCGTTCTCCAGCTGCCGGACTGAGTCATTCTCGTAGTTTTCCTCTTCAGGCTGGACGTAGGGGTCCCCGTCTTCAGTAACTCTGGGAATGAAGTGCAGATGGGATTTTTGGAGCAAATCTTTTAAGAGAAGCATGAGTGGGATTCATGTGACAGCTGTAGTTTGGTTAGCACATTTATTTTCAATAGTCTTCAAATTCACTTTCCTGCTTTTCTTTTTTAACCTAAACGATAACTTGTTAAAATATCGGAGTGTTGGAGAAATAGATCACTGAAAATCTTTTCCTACACATACTTTTTCCCATGGCAGTCTGTTCATCTATGATTTTTAGGGTGTATAGGAATGGGTGGGGCCCTCTACATGTTTTGCACTCTTAGAAAAAGACAAACTTCTCTTTTGAAGGAATATGAACTTTTTCCAATACAAGGGCTTTAAAAAAATAGAATGAAGGGTCAGGGATAGAGCTTAGTGGCACAGTGCCTGCCTGGCACATTTGAGGTCCTGAGTTTGATTCCCAGTACAAAAAAAAAAAAAAAAAATTGCAGAACATTGTCTATAAGGAGAGTAAGCCCTCTACTGAAATAATGGTTAAGGACATTTGTTCATAACATGTTTCTTTTTCCCTCTGCTATACTGAGGGAAATGAATCCAGGCTAGGGTTACCTATACACTGAACTACAACCCTGACTCTCTAAAATTTATTCTATCTATCTATCTATCTATCTATCTATCTATCTATCTATCCATCCATCCATCCTCTATATTTTGAGATGGGTCTTGCTAAGTCTCTAAGTTTCCAAATTATGCGGGGCTTCAGCTCATGATTCTCCTGTCTCAGCGTCCCCGAGTGCTAGGACTACATGGGTGGGCCACACACCCAGTTATTTTTCTCTTTTTGTGTTATCTATGCTGGATTTATTTATTTATTTTTTCATTTTTTAAAATTTTATTGAGAAACAAATACCAATGAGACAGTTTCAAAGCTGATTAATAGAACAGTTTCAATAATTAATACATTGTACATTATTTTTATAGTAGAATTAAGTCTTGGGTGATCAGCAAGTTAGTGCCAAGAAGGCTCATCTCCCCTATGGCTCTCTCTTGACTTTAAAATTTTGTACTATTTGAAAAGTCCATTTAAAATGGTCTAATTTCACTGCAAAACAGGGAAGAATGACCTCACTCACTATGAGACTCTATCTCCATCTATTCGTAGAATGTGTGAGGTGCTTCATGTGGCTTAACAAAAGTTTAGTATCTAACTCATAGGTCTAGAATATTCTCATGTAAAATGTAGTATGTATACTTTTGACAGTACAGATATTAAAACATCCTTAAAATTTTCCTTTGTTTCAAAGAATTGTTTCTGGGCTGCTACTTAAATGCCTCATTCATGTTTATTTACATTTGTATGACATGCTCTTATTATTTTTGGAGGGTTTAGGGCTGACCACATGGGCTGGGAGGCCTCTGCCAACCTCCTTTCCCAGCTCTCCAAGCACTTGGGGCAACTGATCTCGGTCTGGGGCCCAGCAGACTGGTGGTGGTCATGGTCTTTAATGTTTTAGATTTTAGGATTGAGACAAAGGGATTTTAGGTAGACACCATGTAAATGCTTAACCACCTAAAGTCGAAGAGATAAGTGTGCCTGTCCCGCCCACGGGTGTGCTGAGCCAGCCACTGAGTCTGGGCAGGCATGGTGGAGCACACCTGTAATCCCAGCACTGGGGAGGCTGACACAGGAGGATCACTATGAGTCCGAGCTGCATAGTGAGATCCTGTGTGAAATGCATAAAAAAAAAGAGATATGTATTTACCAGACAAAACAGATGACAATTCTTGATTTCAAATAATAAACAAATCTAACAATTCTAAAATGTAGAGGGAAGGAAAAGAAAGCAAACTAAAATTAGAAGCAGCTGCATGCTGCCATTTAAAATTACATCTTAACTATTCTGTTCTGATGGTTCAGGCTGCTGCTTCGCATCTGGCTTTCCTACTAGGTCTCTTTATAACTCTCTATTGTTGCTGGTTTTTCACTTGCTGCCCGGATTGACAGCAAGGGCCTCTGGTTAGTTTCTTCACCAAGTCTTTAAAATAGCCAGTTTATTTTTGTAGACCAGGCTGAAGTACTTTCCGCATTGTGTCACCCTGTCATCTTTTAGTGCTTTCCAATCCCCTTTCCCAGCCATCGGGTCAGCCTTTAGTCATGATCCTCATAACTCCATGAAACTCATGCTCCAAAGTTTATTCTTTTATTCCTTCCCAAACTGGGCTCTGAAACTCTCTCCTAGCTGTGCCTTTGCTCTTCTGTTTCCGCTGCTAAATACTTTGAGGGTCACAGATAAATCTAATGGCAATGTCACCATTTCTGTTGCCTTGAGTCAAGCTATAGAAACCTGCCAGCATGGAAATCTTTGCAAAATAAGACTTCTGAAGAGGGTCCAGTATGTCTTTATAATGAGATTTTAAACAGCTACTTATATCTATCCAAATGTTGTTTACACCCATTGTGAACAAACACCTGACTAATACCATCAGATGAGTGCAAATATAGGAAGTTCAGAAGAGAGAGAGTGATGTGTCCTGAATTTGCTATGAGCCCTAGAAGGGTAAAAGCAGTTTTAAAAAATATTACAAATGATTCCTGACTTGCAAGGGTTTGGTCTACAACTACATAACGTTGCAAAAGCAATGAGCTCTCAGTAGCAACTGTACTTTGAATTTGGGTCATTCAGCAGGCTGGTGATCTGCAGTAGGTGCCTCTGGGTGCTAGGCGGTGGCAGCAGCGGCACCAGGATGCATCTATGGGTCAGTTCCAGGGGTCGGGAAGGCCCACGATCGCCGCTGTCGTGTGCTGCGCTGCTCAGGTAGGATGGGCCATAGGATTGGGATGTTGTATTAAGTGCGTTTCATCTTGTGACATTTTCCATTGTGAGGGCCTATTAGGACGTAACTTCATCATAAAGTGACAGGCATCATTGCCATAAGCACAGATTGCTTTCTTTTGCTGATACTCCCTGGAAGGTATAAGGGCGAGGTGGGAAAGTGTCCCGGCCTAACGCACCCCGGCTTGCCTCTTCCAGCACAAAGGGAAGTGGCACCATTACTTTCTCAGTTACAGCGCTGGCCACCCGCGCCTCGGAGTCGCTGCTCCTCCCTGCTGCTCGCGCCCCCCCTCCCCCCATGCTCTGGGGACTCACATGCTCCCGTGCACGGTGCTTGTGGTGGCTCCTCCGTGGATGTACCCGGGCTTTCGGGCGTGGATTTGAGCTAGGAAAGCCTTTTCAGAGGTGGGCGATGGAACCAGGTCCTCAAACTGAGTCCGCGCAAATTCAGAATCCACATTACTCTCCGTTTCGCTTCCCACCTCTAGCGGCACAATGAAGAAATAAAAAAAACTTGCTAGATAGTTTATGAGCTTCAAATAAAGGACCGGGCTTAACATAAATCAACATGTGCTCTATGAAACATTAGCCAGTTGCTGTACATTAGTCAAATCAGTATTTTCTAAAATGAGAATGGATACACACATTTCTACTATTTGGTATACATTTTCTTTTTTATCTCAAAAATGTTATGAAGAATTTTTTGTGTTCTACTGACTTTACTTTTCAAGTGTTTTTTTCTACAAAACGCCCTCATTAAATTATTATTTTACTTAATAGTACTCTAATTTAGAACATATAACCCTAAAATATGACAAACTCTATTTCAAAGAATTGTAAGAATAAACTAAGAACACACAAGGCTTTCAGTGCAAGAATAATGCTTCAGTTATTATTTGTTAGGACGGTGGTATGCTCATTAATCATGTCACTTCATCCTATTTGGTACTCTTAAATAGAAGCAACAATTTTCAGTTACTTTACTTCTTATTAAAAATTTAAGCTCAGGATTTAAAAAAAATTAAAATTCTATTTCTTACAGTTGTTGTAATCTCAGCTATAAGACCATAGTCCTGCTTAACAAATATCTTGCTAGGTTTGCTTTAAGAAATAGGTGGGAAAGCATTAGTACCTGTTAAATTATTTGTGTATTCATGTTGCTAACGTTTTAAAAACTTTATGTGGCATTAGGAAGCTAGAGACACTTCTACAATTTGATAGTATTCAATTTTGGGCAGACTTAATATTGTAAAGGTAAATTTCATTTTGGCTCCTTCTAAGATCATGCATCTCTAATAAAGTCTAATAGGTAAATAAAATATTTGACGCAATGGAATTAGTCCAGCATCATGTTGCTATGGATTATGATATATATTAACAGTGGCTGTCTTTAGATTCTAGAAGTATGGGTCAATTTGAATACTTTTTTAAAGAAATTCTTTTCTGCATTGCCCAAATTTTCTGCACTGAGTATAGTATTAACAGTCTTCTAATAAGCAAAATGTAAACTTATCAAAAATCAAAAAATACCAACAAAATATTGTACAGGCCTTTAAAATATTCTTTTCTGGGGCCTGGCCCTAGCTCAGTCCTTTAAGTGGCTGCTTCCACAAAGCTGTCAGCCTCAGGTTGCTGGAGTTTGAACCTCACAACTCTCCCGCTGGCCAAAAGTGCCCTGAAGGCAATCGAGGAACCAAAAAAAAAATATTCTTTTCTATTGGACAATGAGTGGGCCTTTGGGAGAGACCTTGCATGGTGGTCCCTCTGTGATGAGCAGACAGGTGCGAGGACACCGGGACTCACCCGAGTTCAGCTCTTTCACCAGAGAGGACATGGTGTTAGTGATGGAATCTGCCGCCACTAGCAAGTCATTCCTTAGATTTCTTCTTGAGCCTTCAGTAAAGAAGAAATAATAATTTAAGAAACCTCAGCTTTTCCTTTACCCAAAGTTTTTATGTTATTCATTATTTTCACTGCAACGTAATGTAACAAAAGTTCTTTTATTTTTCCCTTTCAAAAGGGTTTTGGCTCACATTCTGAAAACAAAAGCAACAGAAAAAGTTACTTACGGCAGTGGCTCCTGATATAAGAAGACGTGGCTAGGGATGGTGGTGTATATAATTTATTGTCTAAAGTGGGATGATGTTGAAAGAGAAAGGAATGAATGTTAATAAGACTGGGTGACCTGGAGCAAACTGGGAGGGGCAGGTAAACCAGCCTGAACAGGCACCTTTCCTAGGAACACACAGATGAGGAGCCTTGGTTCGCTAGGCCTGCATGTCCTACCCACTGTTACTGATCCAGCTGTCGCACTGGAGCTGAGCATCCTGGATTAGGGGCTCCATCAGCACAGCCTTGGTCTCCTAGCGGGGCCTCTAGAGCTTCCCCTAGAGGACAAGGAGCTCTTGGGAATAGGGAGCCTGTGAACTGCACACTTCCGGAGTGTGGGAAATGAGTGAAAACTCTGGTCCTTCTCCCAAGACACGGGCACATACACATCCTGTGCTCTAGCCTGCAGCTTAGGTGTGATTGTGTCGGATCGTAGTCTATGGTAGAAAGTAATGATTCTTACACTGTGGGCACACTAAGAGTGAATGGGTATTTGTGCACTGGCCCGAGAGTGGGGTAAGGTGAAGTTGGGACTGAGATAATCAGCAAAACAGATTTGGAAGAAAAGGTTCAAGATTTCAAATACTGAATGACAAATGCAATTGTGCAGCATGAGCATTTTGTGAGTTAAGGGCTGCCCTGGGGTTCTGCTCCATTGCCATTTCTTGGCAATATTAACTAAGAAACGTAATAAATATATTACATTAAAAAAATCAAAGTAGCTAGATAAAAACATTAATTATAATAGGTAGCATAAGTTGATTTAAAACACAGAATCTGTAGATTTTAAAACATGATTTAGAGAAAGTATATTTTGCCTTCTAAAATTTTTAAAAAGAAAGTTATTTTTCCAGTTACATAAACTGTTCTTTCTTTTTCTTTTTCTTTTTGGGGCAGAGTCTCATGTAGCTCAGGCTGGCCTTGAACTCAGTTTGTAACTCAGGCTGGCCTGGAGCCCAAGTGATCCTTCTGCCTCAGCCTCTCGAGTTCTGGGGCTAGAGGGGTGCACCACCATGCCCAGCCACAGCTGTTCTTGAATTAATTTCAGTGCTTAAAAGAAAAAACCCTAATTTGAGTCCTCTATTTTCATATGAAGTGATAGACTGTTATTCTCCCTCATTAAAATGTGTTAAGGTTTTACCCTGCACACTATGGAGGAGAGTGTCTGTTTTCTCAATTTTACTATCCCTGGATATGATCAGTGTTAAAAAAAAAAAAAAAAAACATTTAAAGCACCTGCTGGGAAAAAGGTGATATTTATTAAAATTCGTGTTCCAACAATTACTTGTGGGGCTGGACCCTTTCCATAGGTTTATGGGTGCTTCGATTTCCTCTATAAGGGTGCGTCCTTCATCTACTTTGGTTTTGGGGTGCCACTTACTTCCTGACCTCCACATGCTTTATGTAGAGCTGAAATTAAGAAAATGGACTGTCACATGCACTGGAAGTGGCTTCCTCATGTTTGTTTGTGTCCTTTGATTTTGTTTATTCTACTCTTTGTCTTAGAATTTAAGCTCAAATCGGTGTCTCTTTTCCTTAGATCTTTAAGTGAAATGTGGATGTGGAAAGATGTTCACAATGTAATTCCAATTCTAAGAAGCACAAATTGCAAAACAAAATGCAATAACTGACCTAATTTGTGTGGGAAACACAGAGTACACATCTATCAGTGCATACAGACATCTTTTGTATGTAGACAGAAAGCTGAGAAAGCCCAAACTCTTCACAGGAGTTTGTTTCTGGCAATGAGGCTGACTTGGTTGAAAAGGGATACAGGTGAATTTGATTTTCTTATACTCTGAATTTAAAAAGTGATGTAAGAAAGACATCAAATCACTTGCTTTGAGGCACCTCTGACCCCTCCCCATGAAGAACACTGGTTGTTACCTCTGGCCTCTCTGGGCTCCTTTGCTGACTGTGGAGGTCTAACCTTGTACCTCCAGGGATGCATCTATAGAACATCTTAACGGGGCTCTAAAAAATTATTGCATGTCTTTGTCATTTTAGAGTTAATGAATTGGGATTATTTAATCTCAGTCTCAAGAGAAGACAAGGAAGTTAACATGGATTGTATTTATAGTATCCTAGGAGACTGATTAAGATATTTCCTGTAACTTGAAGAACAAAGATTTATTAAGAATTGGGCCAGGAAGGTAGAATGGTGACACGAGGAGGAGTGGTTCAGCCCAGGGAGTTCTAAGATGCTCTGATTAACACCGGCCCAGCTATGAGCCAGCCGGAACTCTAAGGAGCTCCCCATGCAGTGGCTGTGCTAACTTATATGCCACTATAAAAGCCAAGCAAAGCAACAACAAGAACACTTACTTTGAGCAAATGCCTCTTGTACATCTCCCCCTACCCCTGTCAGAGAGTCCTGAGGCGTGTGCGTCGGGGTGGAGCAGGCAGACGCCGAGCGGATGGGCATGGGGATGGGCCTGCTGATGGTGTGGCTGGGGGAGGAGCGAGGAGAGCCTGCCCCCTGGGTCTGCAGAGACAAGGCAAGTTATTAATTTGTTTTCCAAGAAAATGCCATATGCCACCCAACACCTAGGTCCGATGTTAAAAACAGTGACAATGAAATTCCAAAGCATGAGGACTACTTAGGGAATTCAGATGGCAACACTAAGCTAAATTGTAGGTGCAAATGATTTAGGGCCCTGTTATATATAATCTGAAGTTGAGGTTAAATACTGAAAGCTAAGGATATTAGTGCAGAATAGTCCTACAATTTATAAGATGTGTGCCAGTATAATGAAACTTTTGCTAAACAGAGATAATTGTAACGTATTTTCTCCATGAAGGAAGTTCTATAGGATAAAAAGATATTAAAGAGGTTTTAAATACAAACTAGGGGACTGTTCAGAACAGATACGGTATATGTGCTCCTACATTTTTTAACTTGTCTCTCCTGGCATCATCTTTAGAGGATAATTCACAGTAGAAATCATATCTTGTAATATTGTGCAGATTAAGTCTCAAAATAAGAGTCAAATAAGGTATAAATTATTTAATCTGCATTTTACAGTTATAGCTGATTTTATCAAGTTGCTCTGTGGCTCAGGGGTTTGAATGGGGAAGCAGACAAAAAAATCTTAGCTTCTTCTTTTGCTAATTTAATTTATTTTTAAATGATACATAGAAAAACTGGACATGTTAATGCAATACCAAGTAATGTTTTGATACAGGTAAACAACATACAATATTTAAGTCAAGCTAAGCATATCTATCTTTCTTTATCATTTGCTTATGGTAAAAACAGTTGAAGTCCTTTTTTAGCTTTTTAAAATATGAAGTACGTAATTGCTATTTATAGTGATCCTGCTGTATAATAGCATAACAGAAGTTCTTACTCCTCTCTAGCTGCATCTGTAACCATAAAACTTAGTATCTCCAACACTTCTCTGCCTTGGTAACTGCCATTATGCTCTCAACATCTTTGAGACTAACTTTTTTAGATTCCACATATGAATTAGATCATGTGGTACTTGTCTCTCTGTGCCTGTCTTACTTCATTTAACATAGTGATGTACAGTTCCATGCATGTGGATGCAAATGACAGGATTTCATTCTTTATGGTAGAATAGTATCCACTGTGCATGAATATCACATGGTCTTTATTTTCTTGTAAGAGAAATCATCTTTCCTTGTTCTATTCATTCATTCATTCATTCATTCATTCATTCATTCATTCATTCATTCATCAACTGGTGGATACTTTTCGTCTCTTAGCTACTATGGATAACACTGCAATAAACCCAGGAGTGTAGGCGTTTCTTCAACACACTGATTTCATTTCCTTTGGATAATTACCTAGTAGTGAGACTGCTGGAGCATATGGAAGTTTTATCTTTAATTCTGTTAGGAACTTCAATGCTATTTTCTATGATAACTAGAATTTACATTTCTAGAATTTACATTGCTATCAAGAGTGTCCAGAGACACCATTTTCTCTACATCCTTACTAGAACTCGCTCTTTTGTCTTTTTGACAATTGCCATTGTTACTGGAGGTAAGTGATGGCTCATTAAAGTTTTTATTTGCAATAATTTTGGTTTCTCATCTTTGGTTACTGTTTCTCTTCACCTATGACAAAGTACTATTCTATCAGAAGAGTAAAAATAGCAGCATTTGAGAGGGACTAAAGACAAGAGTAGAAAACAACTAAAAACTCCATATCCTTGTGTTCCAGTCTTTAGCATGGGACCTTTCTGAGATTGTCACACCTGGAATTTTAATGCTTTGTCACTACCAGAGGTCCCTGAGAAACAATCTTCCTGTTTTAATAATTAGTAGACAAAGGAAGACAATCGTACATGCATGTAAGAAGATGCATGGAGACTTTCATGCATACACAACAAATTTGACATTCATATCAGCTCCATCCCAGTGTTGGGTCTGACCAATTACAGTGAAAACTCTTCTATAGCAAGGACCAGAGATTCCAACCCATTCACATTCCTAGACATGCACTATGGCACCAGAGCTCTGTAATATTCTACTTAGGTCTTTGCTTTGGTTTCAGCTGCTTGAAGTTAAAACATACAACACCAATCTCATACAATTCCATGCGGTTAGCTCTCCAGGGTTTAAGTTCACACAGTATTGTCAAATCTATAAATTGAGGAAAACCCCAGAATTAAAAACAAACAGAACAGAGCACAGAAAAGAACTCTTGAGATGCCCAAAGGGCTGAGGAGTCCATTCTTTCACTCTCAACAGTACCTTGTAGTGATCTGTCCAGGCCCAGGGAAGAGAACTTGGCTGGGTGGTGATGCTTTGCAGCCTGCCTTCCTCAGCCAGCGCAAGGAGGGGGATGGTTTTCCCAGGAAAGATTTGAGAGCTCAGCCCCATTACCTTGAAACTCTGTATCTGAGCTACCATTGTGTCCCCAGCTGGCTGTGTCATAACAGTTAACTTCACATTTGAGTTGTGCTTTCTGGTGTTCAAAAGGCTTTGCACACATTCTCACTGATCTCTCTCCATGACTCTATGGGGCAGGCATCATCATTCTAAATATGCAGATGTGGATCCCAGAGTATGCAGAACAAATAGAATTGCTCTCTGGAGATGGAGCCAGAGTGGTAGGGCTGGTGCTGAGCCCAGGCACTCTGAAGGCTTTGGGATAGAGGAAACTTGTTAGCCTGTGACTAGAGAAGTGTCCCTCAAAAGAGACAGATGTTGGTTGGTACTCTGACCTGGCCTCCTCTCCTGTGCAGGCTTTCCAAGGCAGGGTCCTCAGCAGGACTCCTGTTTTTCTCTTATTTGTCCTTTTTGTGGAGGGACCAGTCACAGCAAGATGAGGGACATAGTGTTTGTAGAAGTTAGCTTTTCTTGGCTGTACAGCCTGAGTTTTCTACACGACTCAGGAAGGCTAGACCTGCTTGCACGATAGGGAAATTCACGATAGCAAGACCATTCCAGTTGTCCATGGAATTTAGCGTATAAAGAGATGCTACATAGACAGTTCTGTTTTATTTTCCAAATGGCAGTAGAAAGCATAATATACTGGAACATCAATTCCTAGTGTGGAAAGCACCTTCACCCCCAAATTCTTCATTTAATCATCTGAACCATATATGGTATTATTTCCATTGTATAGATTAACAAACTGAGACTCAGAAACAATAACTGGGTTATTCAAAGTCCCTGAGTTAGTGAGTGACAGACATAAAAGGGATCCCCAGCCTTTGAGCTACAAACCCAGGGCTTTCCCACATGTCACAGGTACTTCTTAGGATGCTAGATGTGTCCATCTCTGCTTCTCTAAGTTTACAAAGGTTCAGCAGCCTGAGGCTGAAGAAGCCCAGGGCCTGTCCCCAGGATGCCACTGAACCAGGGAATAACTCTCTGTCACTGAGTCATGGGACAGGTTTGGTTGCCAGTGTGAAAGGACAGCCTTTGCGTTTGTTATCCAGGACAGAAGTACAGTGCACAATCTCTTATCTGCAGTTTTGAAATTTAAGAAGGTCTGACAAGCAGAGGTTGTTTCATAATGAATTTGGGCCCATGGAAGATGAGGCTGTTGATAAGGGACAACATCTGTGTTACATCACCTTTCAAAGGTCTGAACTCTAGAACAGAGATGGATTGTGATCTGAGATATGGGATCATGGGCGGTAGTTGGATATTTTGCTGTATTGACACCAGCCTTGTGTGCACTTGTTAGGCCGGGTTCTCTTGCACAGGGCACGCATGGGCTCCTCCCTTCATAAAGCATTTGTAGAGATATATATATATATATGTGATCCTTCCACTCTCCCTTCTGTGAACTCCTGCTTAGCAGTGTGTGTCTGAAGCATTCCGACTCCTATCTCTATCTGTTCTTCAAAACCAATTATTCCTATTCCGTTCTACTTCCTGTCTCCCAAACTCCCATTAGTGATTCTGTGTGAAGAGAAAGAGAATTGACTGCGATTGTGTGCTAAGGGAAAAAACAACTGACTGACTCTAACTCATACCTATGTGTAAGTGACTACCAGTGACCGTCTCCCAAATGAATCTCTAATGGTTGCCTTTTGTAGCAGTCTGATTATTTGAAAAGTTTACATGAAAGATTTTATGTGGAAGGAAGGATTTGGTTGCATGCTTTCTCAGACTTGCAACTCCCAAGTCATATTCAGTCTTTACCCGACTAGTGGGCATCGATGCATAGATGTTGGTTTGCTGGGAGAGCATGCCCCATCTTTCCTTGCTGGGACACTATCTTCCTAGTAGCTTTTGTGTAAATGCCTTCTCTACCTTCCCTTCAGTTCCTCTGTTGGAAGGTCGTTAGTCCAGGGCAGGTGCCCCTTTGCATTTGGGTAGCTTTGGCGTCAATGTCACTGAGCAGCATTTTCACAGGTGATGAGCCCTACAGATGGTTGCCTCCAGCCTGATCATCAACCATGGCTGTTGGCTAACAACTTTAGAAGAGTTGGAGTGAATAATCTCTGTGAGCACTGTTCCTTGGAAATTACTCAATGATTAATGGGACAAAGACTTAAGGGACAATGGTCCATGCAGATCAATAAATAGATCTAAAATTCCCAAGGAGGGAGTTGATTTATGGAAGAAGGAAAACATATATCACACTTGCTAAATTTAAAATAGCTCTCTTCCTAGAGAATAAGTGAAAAATTAATTTCTCCACACCATCCTCTGAGTTCACTCAATCTGCTGTTGCATCAATTTTTAAAAAGGTTGAAAAGATCCATAAATTTTCTGATTATTTTTCAGGAAGTATTTTGATTTCTACTCAGCTCTAGATATGAGAGATACCTTAGGAAAGGGGCAAAGGTCTAAAGGTTGATCCAGGCTGCTTTAATGAAGTACAGAGTGTTACCCGCCATCCAAATCTGCTTCTTAGGCTTGTCTACGAGTGCAACCTGGTCATTCCTGGTTGTCTTTCAAAAATATCTGTCAATATTTTGTACACTGTACAGAGTGTTTAAAACTTGCAGCCTTTTATCATAAATCATATTGTTTAAAAATGTCTACTCAGAAATGGATATCAGCAATAGTTATAGATATTAGCATGCTTAGGATCATACCTGATGCTACCAGAAATGGAAGAGATAATCTTACTGGATTGTTTCTGTCATTTTTTAAAAAATAAAATTGCTATTTACTACTATTAAAAGCAATTAGAGGTAATTAGAACTGATTAAAAGTCTTGTTCAAATTTCTTCCCCTATTAGAGACACTATTAGTTAACTGTAATTAAGAAAGGTAACTGTGTGTGTGTGCATGTGCACATACATGTGTTTGTGTGTGTATGCAAACTATGAGTTCACTCGTGTGTATATAAATAAATATGCATATTCATACTTACATTTGAGATGCATACTGAATTTTTCAGAGTGCTTTCATGTCCATGGCCTTTTAAAATGTGTACAGTAACCCTAGGAGCCAAGCATCACCAGTTTTTTTTAAAGTGAGTTATCAGGAAGTTAATTCACTTTACTCAAGCTCTCATAGGTGTGAGTGAAGAGCAGGGCCCACTGGAACTCTGGTCTAGCCCAAAAAAAATCTTCCTAAGAAAACTATTATTACAATCTTACTTCTTAAACTGAGATTCAAGATGCTTGGTTTTAGATTGGCCAGTGTATTTGGAAGTGGAAAGATACCAGAAACACTGGAACATACTGTTACTACAATTACACCCCAGCTGCCTTCATTATTAAACGTTTTATGAGTGTTCTTTTTATGGCTCTTTCAATAACTCTTAAAGATACACAAAGAAGAAAGAGGGTAGGATAACTTCAGTTTGAGTTTTGTCAAAAAAGAATTTATTGCTTGTGATACCATAATCATCATGTTATATTACAGGCACTATTTTAAAAAATCATGTTCTGTCCTCGACGGGGATAAATTCATGCATTTATACAAGAAACAGTAGAAGTAAGAATTATATATACCAGTATAATAAAATGCTACATTGAACCATGCAGACTTAAGATAAAGCAAATAAGGTTATTAAATCACGCACAATTTGTTTTCTGGAGGTTTTCAAAGTTTGATTTTTACAAAGAGAATGTCCCCAGAGGGGAAAGGCTCATAAATAAAAACAGAATTTAGAAGCAGATGCTGGTCTAAAAACCTCTAAATTCTCTCCTTAGATCATGTTATACTATGAGCAGCCTATAGGTAGGGATGGTACTTATTTATTTCTTTATAGACTGCCTTTATAAGGCTGGAATTTATAGGCTTCTGTCTTTAATTTAGACTGAAGGTCAGGATGAGAAACAGCCACATGAAATCTATGACTTTGTTTTTCCATTTTATTATTCAGTACTTCTATAAAGTTCCGAGTGAAGACTTTCTTTTATATTTTATGGTGTAGAAATTGTGCTCTCCTGAGGAGTGGTATTTCTATGTGGATAGAACCACAGGTCATATTTCCTTTTTTGCTTCATTGCCAGAAAGCTCAGAGGAATACTCTTGCTCCTTACGATTAGCATATTTACATTTCCTTTTCCTTAGCTTTGCATTTTTCTATTTCCAGTTTCGGGAGTCACTGGTCATATATTTTGTTATAGGCTGCCTTGGGTCCTTTTTGAAGAGAGGCTTGAGTGTAAAAGTGGAGGGATATGAGTAAAATGGACAGACTTTCCTCCCAGACAACCTGTTTCTGACATCTGGGTGCACTGACCACAGGCCTGTAAGTCCAGGCCTGTGTACCCCTTGCAGGCTGACCTTCCTAGGAGCTGGAGCTGGAAGCGGATCTGCTGAGAGCAGATCAACCAGCAGAGGGGGGCCGAAAGGTGACAGCCATGACATCACCGAAGGGCACTGCCTGGTCAGGCTCTGTGCCTCTGTTTATGAATTTCCTGCTCCAAAGGAGCTTTGCAAGAAAGTGCTGTCTGGGAGGCCATAGGGGAAGTACCCCTAAGGGAGCAACTGTAGTCAGGCTGACCATGAAGGGCGATTGCCCTTTCTTTCCACTAGGAGAAGGAAGGTTGTATTTGAGCAGAGTTTTCTTTTTCTTCACACATGACAAGAGACAGGAAAGAAAAGAGGCCATTTGCGAAGGGAAGTACCATGAGAAAAGTATTTTCTTGCCATGATCTAAGTGTATTGGAAGTGCAATAGCAATCCCCATTCGGCTGCTGATGTGGTGTGTCTACCCCAGGGAATGGTCCTCATTTTGACTTAAGTTCAGTAATTTTTTCCACAAAATACAAAATAATGTAGTACATTGTCTTTATTGTCTGACATTACAGATTAATTTAACACTTTTCCTTTTTTTTTTTTTTTTTACAGAGGATGGAAATGAAGGTAAAATGTGTTCATCATTTTGCAAACATTCTTTGTTACACACAAACACACACAATGAATAATAGAAAAGAGCATACAGAAGAATTAAAAGATATGTTGGAGTTGACAGGCTGCAGTTCTAATTGATCCATGGAAATGCTGAAAAACGTTTTAATAATGCTAGCAAGTGGAATATATTTTCATACACAGTTTGGTACATGCACCGAACAGTAAAGCTGCTTTTCTTTTGCCTCTATTTAATTGTATTATTATTATTATTATTATTATTATTATTATTTTGAGTATGCTGCTCCCTTCACTGGCTCCTGAATCTGACCGTATGGGCTGGACACAGAATTTCAGTTTAGGTCATGGGTAGAGAAACACAGTGCCCCTAACTCTAGGGAAAAAAAGTGTGTGTAGTGACTTTCGGCACTCCCAATGCAGAAGGTTTGGTGATGAGAAAGGATGTAAGTTACCTATTTTCTTTTAGAGATTGTTGTCAAATAATATTTGGGCTTCTGCTTTAGGGAAGAACCAAAAAGACAGGAAGTGGCTAATGGGGCACTCGGTATGCTCTTTCACAAGATTGAGCCCATTCTGGGGAGCAGATGGACAGAGACAGGGTCTTGTAGAGAGTCAGTTAGTTGAGAGTCAGGGAGTCTTATAGAAATCCTTTTCCTGAGTCTTACGCAAAGAGTTTCCAACTTTTTCAGGAAAAACAGTAACTGAGCTGAATATTCATTGAGAGGACATGAAGGTTTGCTTTTGTGTGTTGTAGGTTTTAATATAATATTAACTTCTGTATAGCTCTAGTGACTGTGTTGTTCTATATAGAGAAGGGTTCTGATCAATAACCCAGAAAAGCATGACACTGATTTGAAACATGTACACTGGGGGATCTAAAACACTTCCAACAAATTACAGTTTGTTCCCTCTTCTAAGAGATGTAACAGTTCTTCTTTTGGTGCAGATAGCAGTGATAGTTATAAAAAATACTAAATTTTATAATCTCAATTAAAGCACTACATTGAAAAATAAGCAAATTAGTATAATTTTTTTTTCTTTCCAAACTGAAGCATGAACATACATTAGAGGCAAAAGCAATGAGAAAAACAGCAGGATGGCAGGCCCCTCCACTGTTAGTTAAGACCTGCAGTAGGGGACATAACTTACTCCCTGCTTCAGTTCTTCTTCCTACAGAAAGATTGAATCAATAACAGTTAGATTACCCAGGGTTCCCAGAAGAGCATCTACACAGCGCGAAGGAAGGCAAGATGGAGGAAATGTCAGTGCAGGTGTGATGGTAGGTCCAGGCCTCTGCCACTTCAGTGATTATCCTTGCAAGCCAAGTGGCTACTTGAGCTTACAGGCCCATTCCTTTCCTCCATGTTTCCATCCATCTCTCAACACAATCTGTCTCTATCCTAGTGCTTGCTCATCTTGGTACAAAAGCTGTGCTCAGTCAGCCCAGGTTGGTACCATGATAACAGGTGGTCAGTAGATTACTATCCCAACGCTACAGTGACAGAAGCTATAGGACCACCAGCTCAGGGTGCATCCCAGCATATCCTGCTGGTCAGTGAAGAGTAAGATGGGTTCAGACCTCTTCATGTGACAGGCTTGGAAAGGGAAGCAGAAAAGAGCTTTTCTGTCAGATCAAATGAGTCAATAGACCAGAAACAGCAGCAGGTTATCCATGAGCTAGTTCTATGTTACTACAACTAACAGAAAACTGCTTGAATACTATACTTTGTATCAAATGCCCTAAAATGTGAATTTTATCAGGTCTTATGAGGCATTCCCCAAATGGACACTGATGATAATGGAATAAAACAGTAAAGAACAAAGAAATGTTACAACTGTAGAGCCTGAGAACAGAGGATTCAAAAAAATATTCGCTAAAGAAAAACTAAAAAGAAGTAGAAATGAAGGAAAAAAGAAAGAAAAAAGCAAAGAGGGAAGAAGGAAGGACAGCAAGAAGGGAAGGGAAGGGGGAAAAAAAGAAGGAAGGACAAGAGGGAAAGGGCCAGAGATGGTGTGTTGGGAGGGGCATCTATGAATTCAAGGTCGGGACACCTTGTCTCCTTTTCTTCTCCATCAGAAGCTTCAATTACTGCCCTTGTGGCAGTTCCAATGCATTCTGATTCATGCTTGTTCATTGTGGGCAGGATGACCGCTGAGCGGAGAGAATTCTACAGGGCCAACTGTGGACGTGTGGCCATAGTTCACCTACATTTGCTTTGCGAAGCAATTTGGTGGTTCTGATGAAGCAAATAAGGCTTTACTGAAGGAGTAGTGCCACTTCCAACATGAAGAGTAGACTATAGCACTATACAGGCCTTATATAGACCACCTTATTACATAGTCTACCTACAAAAGAGGGAGGGAATGTTCCCATTTACAGTTTGCATTTGAAATCTGTAAAAGCCATGTGACTTGTTATAGCCATACAAATGGGACAAAATACTGAAATTAACAAAAAAAAATCACTCAATAAAACTATGAGATTGTTTAGGGCTGTTTCTTAGTTTTCTGAATTGGACATTAGCCTCTGTTCAACTTGCTCAGAACTGTTGAAAGTTGTCTCATATAAGACAGATTAAATATAGTTTTATAAGTTTCAAGCACATAATGGTCAAGAACTAGAAACAGCTGAAGAAGTTACTCTATGAAGGTCATTAACAGTCTGGTGCCAGGAAATGGATCGGAATGAGCTCTGTAATTGGCTGCTACTGTTTCATGGGTCCAAGAAATTGATCCTTATTTAAGCTCGCCACATTTTGGGGGAAATCTTATATAGCTACAGTACTGATAAAGCCATTGCACATTAGATTCAGAAAAAATTACAAATGTCAGCTGTAGGTCTGAGAAATAATTATTTGCCATGTCTTACCTTTAGGAGCTTCATGAGGCCTTCTAACTGGACCATCAGCTCTCTCCGGCTCTCCTGGAGAGCAGACATCCTCTGCTCCAGCTCGTCCTTGCGCTGTCTGAGAAGGAAGCAGTGGCCATCAGAACAGCTCTTAACTTACTGAGGCGATCACATTTCCCACTTGGATAGGACTAGTGGGCTGACGGGCATCTCCAGCTTTTTGATATGGTTACCAGGCAGGAAGCTGTCTTCAAATGGTTGATTGACTCTTGAAATGTACTTTTATTTTCTAAAAGTTTTATTAAATTTAAACAAAAAGATTTCTAACCTTCCCATCCTCCTAATCTGGATGAATAACTTAATAACATATTTGCTGAATATTTATTATACAGCAGGCCCTGTTCTGGGCCACTCGTTTTCCTTGTGGTAACAAACAAACATTGTCACCATCAAAGGCCAGTCTTCAGATCCTCCAAATCTAAAGCACCACTGTAAATTCATGGAAATGATGGTGCACCTTAGTATAGGACGCTTGGTACAGACATATGGTTTTGATCTGTTCTACCCTCATTATATGGCACCTTATTGAAATATGAGTGGTATATACTCATAGAACTGTTGATAACCATGTAAATTATTTGGTTTAGGTTTGATTTAATAATCCTTCAGGATAAAGCAGTTCCTGCATAATTGTTCTCCAACTGAAAGTAATATATGAAGTTTGTGCTTGTTTAGTTTTATTTTGTTTTGCTTAACTTCTATTAAACTGCCAGCAAGAACAGAAATCACTAGGGACCGTGTACCCTCTACTATTTATGTTGATATTAGGAGGTATCACGAATATTTATTTATTCATTTAGTACAGGGTCTACAGGGTCTCACTACGCAGATCAGACTTGCAGTGATCCTCCTGTTTGCAACCTCCCAAGCACTGCAATTACAGGCATGCAGCCACCATGCCTAGTCTCAATCACAGCCTCAGCGTGCCCTGGGGGTGGGGCTGGCACGTGGTGCCTGAGATCAAATTCTGGTCCCTGTGTTTTGCTTAAGCAGGTTCTTTAGTCTGCTGAGCTATCTGGAGGCCCCACAAATATCTTTAAAGGGAGAAAGAATTGAAGCAGTGTGGAGAAGAATATTAATGGACCACCTTTCTTTCTTTCTTTCTTTCTTTCTTTCTTTCTTTCTTTCTTTCTTTCTTTCTTTCTTTTTTAAAAAAAATTTCTTGGTATAGATTCTCTCCATGCAGCTCAGACTTGTACTAATCCTCCTGTCTCAGCCTCCCCAAAGCTGGGATTACAGGCGTGTGCCACCCTGCCTGATTTTGATGGCTGGCATGGCATGCTCGAGTTCCAGGGCCAGCACAGCATGCAGTACCAGGGATCAAACTTGGGTCCTTGTGCTTGCCAGGCAGGCGCTTAGACTGCTAAGCTATCTCCTTGGCCCTAATATGCCACATTTCTGGAGTGGTATACATTTCTAAATCAATTTCAAGTCCATTATCTCATCCTCATTAGCAAGTACGTAATGCCCACATTTTTTACTTGCCCCATAGACTTCTGTTTAAATTTGAAATATTAGAACTTACACTCTCAAATGGATTGATGCCTTAACCACATGTGCATTAATGCACGGGTGCACCCCGCTGGTCTCAGTGGCCCAGACTCCACGTTAGGTGGAGCTATAGTGGGGACTAGGAAATGAAAAACTGACAAAATAAAAATGTCACACCAAGGTAGGTCCATGACTCGCTCTGTTGAAAGATGTTTATAGGATGACAGTTCAGGAATATAAATGAAACATTTTTGGGTTGGCTTCATGTAGGCTTTCTCTATGATGAATTATGAATTTAAAATTTATAAATATCTAAATCCTTTCTGAATATATTTATGTTTTTGCTACTTACAGCTACTCTTGTGTCAATTTTTCCTTTAGTTTCCTTTACAACTGCCTCTTTTCTGAATCCAGAGAATCAGAAACATCATAATTTAAAGCTTTTAATCTTATTTCCTATCTTGGAGTCTTTGTCTCTTTGGGCTGAAGCATTCTAGTTTTTCTTGTCCCATTCAAAAATATTGCTAATGATAAATCTTTAGCTAGTTTACTTCAACTTATGGTGTTCCAAGTACATCCCTGGTAGAACTTGTGCTAAAAGTGGATAATGTTTCTTAGGTATTTCTAGTTTTTTTTTTAATGTTGTTGTATAATTTTTGGCCTTTTGATCACAGGAACACTTTGAGAAGTGGGTCAAAGCCAAATCCTAATACTGTAAATAAAAAATGCTAAGAGAGGAATTTAAAATATATTAGACAAAGTTAATTAGCATTAATTTAGTATTAAACAACATTAAAACAGTCTTAACCCTATCATACATTTGTTTTATCGTAGTAATCTTTTAAAAATGACACTGAATTCAATTAAAATTATTTAATGATGCCTTTGCTGTATTCAGTCTTCCCTATTAGTGTTTGTCACATGTGGATATTTATATAAATATGTATATATAGGCTCCACCATTCCAAGGAAGTAGGAGAAAATGAAGAGTAAATTGTCATTTTATCTTTCTATAGGTAAGTGTAAGCAGCCATAAAGGAATGCCTTTCAGTCTGAAGCTTTGCTGGATTATTTCTAATTTGGTGTGTGTGTTAATACCTACTCTCTTTGAGGCTAGTTAGTGTTGGGATAAATGGCAATATTTTTATTCTCTGTCTCTCTCTCTCTCTCTCTACACACACACACACACACACACACACACACACACGCACACACACACATATATCATCCATACTAATTTCCACTTTGAGGATGGTACCATGATCATATAAGAGACTATTTTCTTAGATAGTACACACATAAGTGCTTATGAATAATAGGCTATAATGCCTATAACTTTTTTAAACATCTGTGAGCCCCAGTTACCATAGTTATAAAAGGAATATGATAATAGTGTCTAGCTTCCAGGTCCGTTAGAGCAATTCCATGGCACAGCACAGTAGAGCTTAATGTGTAGTGAGTGTCAAAGTAGAACACAGAAGTCTCTATTATATAATCACACCTGGGCTTCAAACATGGCTTTCCATTTCCTTGTGGCTAAAGTAAAAAAGGAAACATCCATTTAGAAAGCTCATAGAGATTTCAAGATAAAAATAAATGTATTCAAGAAAACACAGGTTTCAGTGTGCTCTCACTCTCTGCTATTCCCAGGTGAAAGAATTTCTCTTGTAAGAGGCAGTTAGGAAGGATGTAAGAGGGACCACTGTGACAGCGACAGCAAGGAGGTCCTGGGGCTTCGTTCACGGATCGATGCCTGGCAAACCAAGGCCAAAGTCACTTTGCAAGGAGCCACTGTTTGCGAGCTCTATGAAGGTTTGAACTATACCCAGCACAGGGTGTCTTAATCAGGATATCTATGAAATCTCCCTTTGTGAAAATGCTTAGCATAGAAAAGTGGTTTAACAGTATCTAGAAATAGCCTCCAAGGGAGGGTAGTTCTTCTCCCTTTAGGTAGAAGAAACATGGCGGGAGGCAAGCAAGTCAGCCGGACCACTTGATGACAGGGAGGGCTAAATGGCTCTGAAGTTCCTGGCACGTCTGAGCTCTGGGCTCAGCTGGGGTCCTGGGATGCCCACAAGCTGGGATCATGAGAGTTATCACCCTTTTCCAAGGAAGGCAGAATATCATCAAGGAAGGAAGACACCATCCATGACCCAGGTGCAGCCAGACATTTGCCTGGACTATCGCTCAAATGAGGCAAAATGCTTTCCAAAGCAAAAGCTAAGTGGGGGGAGCTGATGAAAATGCTTATGAAAAATTCCTGGTCATCATCCCCCGAATAGAGAAACAATGACCAACTGAAGGTATATAAAAGGCATTTAAGGCAGAGATAAGACACTACTCTGATCCTGACTGATGAATGGCTACTCTATTTCCATGTTGGCTTCTTCAGTTATATTTCTGTCCACTTAGATTTAAATTTCAACTTGTGAAAGTGGAGCACCCATCCAATCCTATTTCATAAAAGACTGCCAAGGAGGCACTTGCTGGTAAATGCCTTTAGTGAGCAGATTGTCCTTCTCATTTCTACCTCTTCTAGGTAATAGTGTGGGCATATGTGCATGAATTTCTAGGGCATCTCATTGAGGGTAGGACAGAAAACAGGTTGAGAAGGAAGACATTTTATTCCGGTAAGTGGCCTATTCACATTGAGCACCCTGTATAAGTGGCAGGTTCCAGAGATCTCTTTTCCACACGTGAAGCCTGCAGTGGGTCTGCCTCAGTCACAGGCCTGGGACAGGCACAGGGGCTCCCAGCCGGAGAGCAGTCGGGGCCAGGACTCGGGGCCAGGCAGTGCTCAGGTGTTACATATCTGTAGGCCAGGGCTGGGGTGGGACCCCCAGGAGCAGGCGTGGCCACAACCAGTAGGGACTTGGTGAAATCCAAACAAGCCATATAGAGCCTGCTTAAGCAAGTCTCTTTGCACAGTGACGCCACTTCTCATGATTTCAGAGAAGAGGCATCTGTATTTACTACACAAAGTATAATTCAGCATTATAGATATACAGTACCGGACTGCACTCAACATCCAATTAAAATAGAAAATGTAGTTCTTACTAATTAGAAGTGATTTGTGAAAGATCAAGGTGAAATTTCTGTGAGGGGATGACTTGGAATTTATTTTGTGTTGCTTGCTATACAAATACAGGTGAGCGCTTGCCGTATTCAAGATATGGTGTTAAGCCAGCCCCATGGGATTTTGGGCAACCTACAGTGACAACTACACTTTGCTCCATAGGAGTAGTGGAACAATTACAGTCCTCATCAAAGGTAGGATACTTTCTAGGTTTCAGACTCTGAGATGGACACTGAAATTCAGGAATGGAGTCAGATTACCTTGGGTTTCATCCCACTCAAATGTTCTATGGTCACAAATGAGAAAAGATGAGCCGTTTTCATACACTTGCACAATAAAGAGGCCAATAAAGAGGCCTGACATCTCTTTCTAAAGACCTATACGTAAAATTATTAGGGATCAAGATTTAGAGAAGAGTAGATTCCCTTCTATGGGTTACATGTGAACTTGAGAATTTAGAAAGGTAAAGGGCTGGCCAAATAATAGCTCAGAGGATTAAAGCACCTGCAAGCAGGCACAGGGGCCAGGGGTTTGGTCCCCAGGCCTGTCATGCTGTCCCCGCCTCCCGGGGCACAATGAGACCGAGATTGAGACTGGGCATGGTGGTGTGCTCCTGTAATTCCCGCTCTTGGGAAGTTGTACACAGGAGAATCACTGCGAGTCAGATCTAGTAGTGAGACCCTGAACACCCTGTAGACCCTTCCCTAAAATACAGGAAAAAAAATTTAGAAATGTTTAGCAGCTCTTTAGTCATTTATGTGCTTGTTTTGCTGAGCATTTGTGACATTAATACATTGTTGATAATGCAGACAACCCCAAGAGCTGAGTTAAATTTTTTTCAGTAGAGATTGCTTCTGGTCTAAAGACTGTTTCCTTTATTGTGTCTCATAAATGAATAAAATATAAATTTTTCTTCAAATTACCCAAATCTCAACAATTAGGTGTATGCTATTAAAAAACAAACAAATCTCAGCAGTTACAGTGGCTAAGCACTGTTTCCTGGCTGGACACATTGAGCCTGTGTTAAAGACCTCAAACGTCCATTGATATCCCCGAGACGACCTGAGCCCCTCTTCTTACCTGAGGAGCCGGAGCTCTGCCAGCAGCGTGGGGTTCTGCTGGGCCTTTTCTGGCGTGGGCTGAGAAGCTTGCTCATGCTCTAGCCGCAGCCTCTGGATCTCCTGTAAGATTTCTCTTGGGAGAGAGGAGAAAGGTGAGAAAGTAGGGTCAGCTAACTTCCGAGACACTAACATCCGAGCGAGTCTGGCCTCTGGAGCGGGGACAGAAGGGAGCATCCTCATGTAGAAGCAAAGCCAGCGCTCACCATGAACAGAATCTGCTTCAGATGTCACTGAGTATTGGCACCAGGACCTACTCACCCTCCAGGAACTCATGTGCTGCGTGGCAATGTGTTCACCTCTGATGAGTGCATTGCTTACGAGACAAAAATGCATCTTCTTAGCATTTGTGATCACTGCCTGACACCATAAAGCACCCACAGCTACCAAGCAAGAGGTGCTCAAGGGGAAAATAGGAGTAAGTGATGCTCATTTCACAAAACTAAATAACCTACTTCTCTCATCAAGAATGGAATTCTCGCGGAATTTATCTGAGAATCCCTCAACTAGGTAAAATCCTTTGTCTTTTTTCTTATCATTTTTCAGTCTTAACAATGGATCTCAATGAAGGCATCCTTAGAACGAAAGTGCTTTTAAAAGGATCCACTGTAATTGAGTCTGCGACATAGAAAGCTACGCTGTGACCTCTGTCATGGGGTGAGACATGTCAGCCAGTTATTGATGGGGGGAGGGGTTGGGCTGCTCTGCATTTCAGTGAACATCAGGCTGGCCATAAATGATATGTGACCAGCACAAGGCAAATTACCCCTAAGTGCACGAGAAGCCATTAATCCAGGCTGTGAGTCACATATTCTTGGGGGCTGTGGGTATCTACTCAAGAAAATGCATAAGACAGAGCAAAGGTGGGAGAAAGGAGCGAAGCTGGGAGAGCGAGAGAGGGGCTTTCCACTAAAATGCTTTTACTTGACACAGTGATTGTCCATCTTCATGATGTGCAATATGGCAGTTTGACACATGCTCACCACATGTAATGATCAAATAAGGAAAATTAGCAATTCTTTGGGTTGGGAACCTTTAAAGTTTCAGTTGGAGTAGCTGGTACCAAAAGACATTTAGTAAAGGGTAAGTTCTTGTTTTCTGTATAACACATTAGGAGGATGAGTATAGTTAACAATAATTTATTATATATTTCACAATAACAAAAAGATAGTTTGGTGCGTTTGCCTTGGAAATATTGATTTATAGCTGCCTGCTTCACAAACACAGTGGAAAGAGAAGCACAGTTGACATATTACATCTTCCACAGGTATGGGGAGAAGGCTGGATTATAAGGGGTGGTTTTCAGATGTCTCGGGAGAACTACTTAATGTTCCAGGTGGAAAGTCTTTCTTTAAAAGAAATCATTCATTACATAAATAAATAAATAAATAAATAAATAAATAAAATTAAAATTGGGGCTGGTGAGATGGCTCAGTGGTCTAAAGCACCTACTTAGAACAAGCTTAGCAAAGCACAGGGACCGCGATTCAATCCCCCAGCACCACATGCCAGCCAGCCTGCCCCCTGGTGGGCTGAGCTGGCCACACACACACACACACACACACACACACAAATAAATAAAAAAAATTTAAAAGAAATCATTCATGTAAACCCATCTCCTGTGTCAGGCAGTGCAGTTGGATCTACTGTAATTAAAGAAAGGGAACCCCAGTGCTGTCCTTGGGTGCTCCTGCAGGGTGCCCAGGTTGTCAGAGAGCTCAGCTTGAAAATAAGATAACTGTGCTTTCCATAATGGCCTCTAGTGCTGATACCTTGACATTCTATGTCTCTGGTCATTTTTCCTTGTGGGTCACAGAGAATATGACAGAGCTACTTAGCTCGGGAAAGAAAAGAGAAGCACTTATGGTAAGAAGAAAATATCAGAAGATATATAATTTCCATGGTAGAACTGCGTTGTCTTCTTTAATCTTCTTTTATTTATTTCCATAACAGTTTTATGGTATGTAGGTACTACTGTTGTATTTATTTCATGAATGAGGAAATCAAGGGACACATCAGGTAAAACACTTGCTCATGTTCAGTAGCAAGCAGGTGATTTGAACCCAGGCCACATAGCTCAAAATCCTGATATCAGACTGCCTCAGTTTCTGTCACTTGCTTTGACTAGTTCAGCCTGGGAAGGCTGTGACTGATGCAAGGTTATCTGAAGAGTCCTGTTACTCCTCACACTGGCCCCACCTGGCTCCTCTGGGATGTTAGAAGGAAACACGGTCTCTGACAGATGATAGCTGACATGTTGTTATCATTTGTGGCTGTGTGTCCCACAAAGGCTCATGGGAGAAAGCATGGGAGTCAGCCTGTAGCATTATTGGGAGATTATGAGATTTTTAGGAGGCACAGCCTAGTAGAAGTAAGTTAGGTCCCGGGAGGCCTGCCTCTGAGGGGTCATACTTCTCTGTTTCCTCTGTCACTTTCTGTTTCTTGCCTGCCGTGAGGTGAACCTCCCTCCCTCTTAAGCACTGTGCTATGATGTATTTATGATATACTACCTTGTTCCCATCCTCAACCCCTGACTTTCCTCTTCATATGATATCAGGACAGATGGATATGAGAAAGGAAAGAACAGCAGAGTGAAAGAAAAGAGGGTCACTAGTGAAATCTGTGATATGTGAAGACTGCTGGTAGAAAGTCTGGAATCCCTATTAGAACCTTTAGAAGGGACAGCAGAGACTTTCATAAAATAACATTCCAGAAATATTTCTTTTTGTTCAGCGTCTTCTGTTTTGTTTTGGTTAATCCCATTTCTGGCATCATCTTTTTAACATAGGTCCTTATCATTTTCTACCAGCTTCTAGCTAATCCTTGAGAGAACAATGTGCATATTTAATAAGCTGATTATTTTACTATAAATAGGCAGACATTCCCTCCCTTACCTGACGACTTCCATCTATTATGAAGCTACAAGATTCAAATTCTGTGGCCTAGTGTAAGGCCTTGTATGTTGTCGATCCTATTTTGCTTTTCATCGCAACCTGTTGGATACTGGCCTAGCTAGTGTTGTCATCACTTGTAATTGAACCTGTACTTTTGTCTTCCACTGCCTAATTTCACTGTCTGGAAAGGTTCCGCTAAAACAACACTTTCTTCATAAAGTTGATCTGACACAACCTAGAGCACAGTGGTGGCAGAGTGAGTCATTTGGGGGGAAAAGTGTAGCAATGACGCTTCAGTTTTGTAGAACGAGGATGATGATAACAGTCATCCTGCCCACCTCAAAGAGTTGTTCTGAAGACACAATGAAACAATACGAAGTTGTATAAATGCTTTATAAATGTATGATTGTCACTATCATCACTCCAACACTTCAATACAAAAACCTAGGTTTTTTTTTTCTGATACCTGGAAGCTAGAGTTGTATGGTATTAATTTGAGCTTTGGAACTTTCTCCACTGGAGAATTTCTTGCTGGTTGGAGTCATAGTACATGGAAGCAGAGTTGTATGCTTTAGAGAAAAGAGACTAAGGTTTGGAGAAGAGGATGTGGGATGTTTCTGTCAGAAGTAGGCCTCATCTTGGGAATAGTTTAGTCAGGCTTCCAGCTGGCATAACACTCCAGTTCTGGATAAGATAATGGATTTTTTCTTCTCCTTTTCTCCTTTAGCTCTTTCTGTTGACCACTACAAGACCCTGACATCTGTTAACTCTGAGTACTTTTGAATAACTTTTTATACCATGTGTTATAGGTTTCACTTTGTTGATGAAACAGAAAAGGCCCAGCATCTACATGCCAATTCTAATATTTGCTAAGGTTTTGTTTGAAAGAAGTTGAAATTGTGGATTAAATCAAGAATTAAAGTTGGTCAAGTTTTCTTTCCTTTTTCCTCTCCTTTTATGCCTTTTCTGGTATCTGAGCTAATGAAAAGCTTGACGACACCATTCGAAAATGATACCTCTATCTTCCTACTTCTTGTAACCACCGATAGTAGGAGAGTCATTCCAGGGATTTAGCATCCCCAGGGCTTCTTTTACATTCTTCATGTCTAGAGCTCAGGCCGCCTGACTCTGCTGCCTTTCACACTGGCTCTCCAACTGCTCTTTTCCTGTCAGTGAATTGTGTCTTCCACTAGATTTCAAATGTCTTTACTCATTTGAAATTACTCCCTTTTCTTAGCACCTTTCTTGAGCAAAATTATTTTCACTCAATGGATATAATAAATGTTCTATAAAATAGAATCAGTAGTTTCATGGTCTTGGCACTATCCACATTCATTAAGATATTTTTATTTTGATTTGTGTCCTCCTAATGACTGGAGATAGGTCTGAGGAAAACAAAGTCAAAAGTCATTTTACTAGAAAAAATATGAAAATATGCAAACAGAGTTTCCACTTTTTTTTAAAGTTTTATCTGTAAAACTTTAAAGCATTTTTTTTTTTCAGAACTGGGGATTGAACTCAGGCCCTTGTGCTTGCCAGGGAAGCACTTATTCTACTGAGCCATCTCTCCGGCCCCTAAAGCATGTTTTGATAATTTATCCCAAAGTTCTCAGGGTAAGATGTACAGGTATGAAATAATTATCATACCACTTTCCTTTATAATATAATTTTGAAAATGATGTCAGTGTTTACGAAGGGATTAAGCATTAAGAAATTGGTGCCATTCCTAGAAATACAGAATGGGAAAGTTGCTCTTGTGGTGGGATTACTCAGACTAAATTTGAGACCTAACCCAGCTATTCATTGTTTTGTCATTTAGCATATACTTAAAGAGCATCTGCAATACTGCAGGCATGATTCTGGGACCTGGAAGGTTTTCCAATGGCCTTTGCTCTTAAAGAATTCCCATTTTAAGTCAGGGAAGACAAATAATAAAGAAGGAAGCAAATACCTACATATAGCATAATTTCAGATACACACACACACACACACACACACACACACACACACATGACCTAATAGTTGCTGGGATAGGAAGTAGTAGGTAAGATTAGATGCAAGGTTTTTAGGAAGTGACACTAAACTGAGACTTGGTTGGTGAGGAACCATCCTACAGAAAGAGCTTTCTGGGGTCCAAAAGAATGACCAGGGCAAAGGGCGTAAGGCAGGATGAAGCCACACGAGGATGGAGTGTAATGAGAAAGTACAGCAGTGGCTTACAGGCAGGCAGTCACCAGGAGAGGTAAGGCCTTGCAGATCCTGGTGATAAGAGTGGATTTGAATCAAAGCACAGTGGAAAATCATCATGTGATTTTCATAAATAACATGATACGATTTGTTTTAAAAATGACAGGTTGGACTCAAGGTTGGTGGTAGAGATGAGGGGGACAGGTTTTTGATATGCTGTGGAAACAGAATCAATCTGTTGAACAAGAAAGGACCTGCTGATGGAGTAGACATGGAGATGCTTGGGTTCAGCAGCTGGGTGATGGTGTTGTTGCTCCAGGTGCCTCTTTTGCTTGTGTTCTATGAGAGTCCACTCAGGTAAGTGTCCTGGTTGTTTCTAGTTGGCAGAGGAGCACTGAGTGGTGCCCTGGAAGGATGTGCTTGCGCTACAGCTTGTTACAAAACTAAAAGTGCCAAAAAGGGAAACACGCCTGTCTAGTGGACAACCATGCACAGTTTTTTTAAATGGAGCTTTTGTAGATTTAAGGAGCTAAGATCAACTTTTCAGAAGGTCATATCAATGCTACTCGATGTCATCCTGAAAATATGTGCATATGGTGAAAGTCTAGGGGAATTTAAAACACAGCCTTAGGTCACTGAAGAGCACACACACACTGATGAAGAAAGCCACCATGTCTCTAAAGCCTTACCTGTTCTTGTTTTCTAGTTCTGCAATCAGCTGCCTTTGTTGCTTATTTGCATCAATGGTGAAGGAGATGTCAGGAGCACTTCTCTGCTGAGTTGGCTGCTGTAAAATATGCAATTTATAGCACTCAACATTGGGAACAGGGACACTCATGTGTTTGGGAAGACAGGGGTCATCAGATACGTAAACAAGGAAGAGGAAACCATATCCAGCGAAGTAAAGGAGGGAAAACACATAAAACTGAATTCTTTCAGAAGAACCATTTTTTTCCCTCTGAAGATCTATAACACAGCAATCCAATGGAAAACAAAAGGGAAGCAAATACACAAAACATGGGGAAAATTGCCTTTCAGATTGCGGATTTGGAGTCTTTGGGAAACTATTTCATTCTTACAGTGCGGTCACCATTGCAATTATTCTCTCAGTGTAAGTGCGTTTAAAACTGTTTTACTATTGAGATGGCTCTTTTTGTAGAATTGCTGTTCAATCATTTAAAAAATGTTTGCAGTATGTAATGATTGCAGTTATTAGGGGGAGCTGATGCATGTCATAATCTATCCTAATTCGTTTTCTTCTCTCTCTCTCTCTCTCTCTCTCTCTCTCTCTCTCTCTCTCTCTCTCTCTCTCTCTCTCTTTTTTGGTGGAACCAAGGATTGAACACAGGCCCTTGCACTTACCAGACAAGCACTTATTCTACTGAGTCATCTCCCTGGCCCCTTTCTTCTCTCTTTTTTTGCTTTTTATTCCCCAATATCCCCTCCCTTCCTGCTCCTTCAATCATTTCCATAGTATATTTCAAAATAGCTACAGGAGAGGATCTTGAGTCTTTCCACCACATAGAAATGATAAATGAATGAGATGCTGGGTGAGGTAATTACCCTAATCTAATTATCATATATTGTATACATGTGTTAAAATATCAAACTTTACCCAATATATATGAACAATTATATATCAATTTTTAAAAAGAAAATTAAAAATTAATTTCTGATTAAAATTTTCATGGTTTCAAATATAAGAAGACTGGGGCCGGGGAGATGGCTCAGTGGAATAAGCGCTTCCCTGGCAAGTGCAAGGGCCTGAGTTCAATCCCCGGTTCCAAAAAAAAAAAAAAAACCAAATATAAAAAGACTATTTTTCCTTTGGTCAACATAAATTTATGCCCCTATTTATATGTCTAATTTTACTGTAATGCATTCATATATAATGCTTCCTCTGCATACATACTGTAGCAACTCACTATCCTTAATCATGAAACTAGTTCTAATAACTGATATATATGGTGAATAGCTTTCTTCAGTATCACACATATAAATCTTAACATATAATATTTGTATTTATCATATAATATATTATATATACACACATATGTGTATGTTATATAATGTGTATTTATTCAAAGGTTTATTTGGCATTGCTTTATAAAATGAGATCTGATCAGGCATACCTTGCTGCTTCTTGCTTTTTTCTATTTTTGCTCTATAGTACCTTAGAGAAATTCTCCCAAGTCATTTTTTATTGTTTTAAAAATCAGAAGTTTTTAAACCAAGGAGTGTAAAACTTTTAAAAATGTCACTTCTGCTTAAGCCAAAAGACATGGAGAAGCTTGGCCTGATATTTAATGTTTAGATACCTAACTGCAGGAAAGGCTCAGATTGGTAAAGATCTCACTTTCAAAAACATTCTTGTGTGATTTTTGTTTTCTGCTTCTTTTTGACAAATAACTCATGCTGCTGATGAAGAATTTCAAGGTCCTGTAGACCTTAGCTAAGTACCATGCATGGTAGCTCTGATCTGTGACCTAGATGTTCCTTGTAATTTTACTACACAGATTTCTCCTTACATAAATCTTTTGTATGGATAAAAGACTGTTGATTTCAGACATTGCTTCGGTCTTTAGATTAATTGATCAGTATTTATCAAAACAATCATGCAAAAAGTGAGCTCAGCAATATTATCACTAGACTACCCTAAACTATGATTTGGCTGTACTAGGAAAGAACTAAAAATTGAAAGCATGTAAGCGGACCAAGTAGAGGCAAGAGCTATTTAGTTCTGCTACTGTAGCAGGGAATAGCTGTACAGAATTTGTACACAGGTGAGGTGCTGGTATTCTAATAGAGCTATTTATTTATTTATTTATTTATTTTGCAGAACTGAGGATTGAACTCAGGCCCTTGCACTTGCCAGGGAAGTGCTTATTCTACTGAGCCATCTCCCAGCCTGCTAATAAAGCTTTATTATGGACAATGAAATTTGAATGTCATATAATTTTCTCGTGATATGGTTCTCCTTTTCATTTCAACAATACAAATGTAGAAATTATCCTTAGCTTATATTGTATAAAAATAGACTGGATTTGGCTCAAGTAGTATATTGATCTATCAAGGGTTAAGAAATCTCTTTTTATTTTATTTTTAAATCAATAGAATCAAACACAGGGAGAAAACAATATCAAGCCATAAATAATATGAAACAATCTTTCCTTGAAGACCAAAATATATGGCATTTAATTTATTTGCTTTTAAAAATCAGAACGGAAAATTTCAAGCAGTCAATAAATATGAGAAATAATAAATGGTAGGCTAATTCTACTTAATAGGTCTTATTATTGGGAAAATAATAAAAGGAAGAACAATGGATTCAGAATAGAGAAGGAAAGAAAAATAGGCAGAAAAAGACAGGCAAAAAATAGGACCAGAAAGAAAAGGAAGGACAGGGGAGATATTAATTCTTGCTGGGTTGATATGCTTTGGACATGTAATTATATTTAACTTCTCTAACTGATAGCATAGCAACAACTAGAGATAGAAAACACATGGAGAGAGGAAAACAGATCCTCAGAAGAGAATTTATAAAAAGAAAATCACCACACTTGAAACATATGGGTTCCTTATCCTGTGACCCAAGACTGTGTTTAGGAAGGGACAGTCACACAGAAAGCACTGAGAAGCATTCAAAGCCCATTTCTATGCAGACACATTTCAATTCGTAGCCATCAAGAAATCCAAGGTTATATGGTTTAAATGGCTTTTGAAGCCAACCACATTTTACTAACTATAGGCGATGGAAGTGTCCTATATTTTTTGAAGACCAGATCTGGCTTACTGACTAATCATCTAATTTGATTGATTAGAATGCTTACCACATCATTGGTTATTTTAGTGAGCTTTAGCGAATCCTACTATTCTTTTTTATTTTCGATTTTTTTTTTGTTCCTCAAATGCCTTCAGGGTTCGAACTCCAGCAACCTGAGGCTGACAGCTTTGTGGAAGCAGCCTCTTAAAGGACTGAGCTAGGGCCAGGTCCCCGAATCCTACTATTCTTACTCAGATGAAATTTCCTTAAGTTTTTAACTGCCTCATACAATATTTGAACTGATTTATTTTCTTATTCAGCGCATTAAAAAAATCAGCACCTACTATATAACAGATACTATGGCAGATGTCCTGTAAAAATGTTTCTTGCCCTCAAAAGAAAGGTAAATGTGATTTGCATGATTATTACTGTGGGTGAGGCACACACACAATTCAAAAGAAGCACAGAGGAAATATGGCCACATTATAGGGTCAGGGAAGGAATATTAAGAAGATAGCACTGAGCTACCTTATTAAGTGAGATGGGGAAGTAATGTTAGATGGGTAGCCTCCAGGTTTTTGCATGGTACAGCTGGAATGGCTAATCTATAGGGTGTAGAGTGGTGGGGAACAGAAAGGTAAGATCCAGTGAGAAAAAGAATAGATCCAAGGGAAGCACATGCTGAAGAAAGATGTAGGGCTTTCCTATAGAAACTGATCCAAGTGAAATACCTTTCTATCTTCTTTCTAGCCTGGTGATATCTTCTAATTATGATTTATTTAACCAATAATCACATTTTTAGAATGTGATTATGAGAAGACTGATGGAGGAACAAGAATTAATATGAGGATATCTTTTCTGTGATGGATTTACAAAGGTTAATATATATATATATATATATATATATATATATATATATGCAATGAATGCAAGTAACTTATGTTCTTAAGAAAGAAAAAGAACAGAGGCAGAAGTGCATGTACTCCACCAGGGATCATTGATTCAAATGTTGACTAGAGCCAGGAAGATGACCTAAATAAAAGAGGGAGTCCAAGGGGTTGTGGGTAATGGTGACTGCTAACCCTGCTAACCCTGTCCAAAGACAGTAGGGTTCTACTCCAGCTGCATGCTGCCATGAGTAACATACATCTTGTCTTGTTAGTCTTTCAAGATAAGCCGTAACTCTAGAATTTTAAGGCAAATGATCTGATTTGTAAATGCCATGCCTGAGTTTTAGGCCATCCAATATAATTTTATCCTGTTTCCTTTCCATCAGATCATGGTAGTTTCTAAGTGTACAGTCACTGCTGTCACAGAGCAAATAAGTCCTATTTGGGATTATTAGTAAATGCCTGGCATGATGGGCTCTGATAAAAGTAACATCTTGGGTGACAAGGAAGGAGCAGCTTCTCTTCCCTATTTGAGCCCCCGCCATTCAACTCATTGTCTTTTGTGATCATTGGTCACAGCTCACCCTCACCAGTGATTATTCTGCCCTAGATCTAGTATCCTTGCAAAACATATCTGATTTAAACCTATTGAAAAATCACAACCATTGTTCCCCTTTTGTCAGGTTTTCATATGGGGACACAAGTGGGTAAAGTGGGGTATGTAGCTTTCATTTCAATTACAGTATCTGGTTACCATAGATTTTTTCATTCCTCAGTTTAAGCTTGGAATTTAATACCAAGATGCAGTAAATACAGTAACAAACACATAAACAATAAATCAGCACTAATTGCCTTGCTAATTAGTATCAGCTATCAAGATAAAAATGGACATGACAGGGGAAATTCAAGGACACAGGATGCCTACAGATGAATCCTTTCACTCAAAGTACTTACAGCTGAAGAGGATTCTGCAGCCAGTCTTGCTGCATACCTGGCGATCAGCCTGTGTTCTTCATCAAGCCGATTGGAACTCTCAAGCATACTGTTGAGAACCAAGAAAGAGGACTCAGTAAATAGGAGAGATGGATATGCAATCTATTGTTGGGGGTTTGGCTATTTCAGTTTCTCAATGCCCCAAATTTACAAGCCAAATAAAACCCAATTAAGTTAATGATCTCCAGCTTGGATGCAGGACATGATCTAGTCTGTGGCCCCAAAGGTCAATAATAAATCCTATGTTCTGTCAATTCAATAATTTTACTAAGAGACCGCCAAGAAGAATTGACTCTTCTGATCAACATTTCTGACACATGAATACCTCATTTTAAAAGTAATTGTCTTTAATATTTTCATTTCCTTTTTACACAAGTAATGCACATCCATAATCAATGTTAGAAACTATGGAAGTAAGCAGAAAGGCAAAAGCGAAGTGCATTTATCTTCTAGTAGTCTTTGCTTGCTGGTATGCACATCCTTACATGCAGTAATTCCTCTCTTTAGAATGGACTGGATTTATTCACTTTCAGTGAATAGAGTATAGAATATCACTTCCCAAGCCAGGTTAAAAAGACCAGGGCTCTCATGTTGGGTTTTCTTTTTCTTGTGCCTTCTTATGTTGCTTGCCTTGTAAGAAGCTAGTTGTCATGTTTATAGCAGCCCTGTGCTAGGCCTCTGTGCCACTGACATGTGAATGGATCCACTGGCAGAGCCCTTGGATGAGCTCAATCCAACAGCTTGACTGAAACCTCATGAATGTCCTTGAGCCAACGCCATCTCACTAGGCCAAACCTACATTCCTCCACAAAACCGTGAGATAATAAACATCTGTTGCAAACTCACTGAGAGAGAAATTAGGAAAACCATAACCTTCACAATAGCATCCAAAAAATGAAATACTGAGGAAGCAATCTAACAAAGCAAGTAAAGTACTCTGAAAATTGAGGTACTCTGAAAAAGGAGATTGAAGAGGATACCAGAAAATCAAAAGATATCTCTTGCTCATGGATACGAAGGACCAACACAGTGAAAATGCCATACTCTTAAAATTATTATACGGATTTAATGGTGATAATGCTTTGATTGCATTATCATACCTCACAGAACTAGGGACATTTCTAAAATTCCTCTGGAACCAGAAAAGACCCAGAATAGCAAGCCAATCCCGGACAATGAAGGCAAGGCAGGAGGCATCACGATCTCTGCCTTGAAATTATACTACAAAGCTCCTGTGATAAAAATCAGTATGGCACTGGAAAAACAAACAAATAAGCAAAAACCAGACTTAGGGACCAGTAGAAGAGATCAGACGATGCAGATACAACTACAAACACCTTCAGCCACCTTATCTTTGATAAAGGAGCCTCTTTAATAAATGGTGCTACAAGAACTGGCTCTCTTAATGCTGAAGAATAAAACTAGACCAAGGTTTATCATCATGAACCAAACTAAAGTGAAATGGATCAAAGACCTAAATATTAGAAAATAAATACCAAATTTACTGGAAGGGAAAGCAGGTAGAAATCTTGAAGACATAGGTGTAGGCAGACAGTTCATGAACAAACCTGGATTGCACAAGAAATGCTTCAAATAATCAACAACTGGAATTTCATCTTATTAAAAGCTTTTGCACAGCAATAGAAATCACCAACAAAGTGAGAAGACAGAAGGAAAGACACTGTCCACAGAGTAGGGAAAATTTTAGCCAATGGTCCCGTAGACAAAAGACTTCTATCTAGAACACAGAAAGAAATGAAAAAACAAAAAATCAGACCCCCAGTTAAAAGACCCAATCCAAAAATGGGCATTGGATGTGAATATACACTTCCTAGATGAAGAAATACAAATAGCAAATAAATGTGTGAAAAAATATTCAACATCACTGATCATTTATATATACAAATTAAAGCAACACTGAGATTCCAACTCACTCCAGAAAGAATGGCTATGATCAAGGAATCAACTAATGATGAATGTTGGAGTGTTTGTGGTGAAAAAGGAATCATTCTTGTTGGTGGTGGGAGTGTAAACTGGTAAAATATCTGTGGAGGTCAATGTGGAGAATTATCAACAAACTACAATAAGAGGTCCCATTTGATCCAGCTATTCCCCTTCTGGGTGTCATTCCAGAAGAATTAAGAACATCATACCGCAGCAATGTATGTGCACCCATGTTTATAGGACCACAACTTGTAATAGCTAGATCTTAGAAACAACCCAAATGCCTATCAACCAAGGAATGGATAAAAAGGATGTATTCTTTTTATACAATGGAACACCACTCAGCATAAAGAAGGTTTACCTTGAGACTTTTACAGGAACATGGATGTAATCTGAGACCATAGTCATTAGGGAAATAAATCAGACTCACATGTGTAAGCATTGTGTTGTCTCCTTGTTGTGAGAAACTGAGAGAGTAAATAAGGTCTAAAAAGCACAATAGATATTGTGAAGTGGAAAGAAATTATTCAAAAAGAAAAAGGAACTGGGCTGGGTGAAAGGGGAAAGCACTGTAGGGAAAAGGTAAAAATGCAAGTCTGTGTTTCTTAGTTCATTAGAAAGGAAGTTTGTGTCAATGTGGACTGGAGAACATTTTAGGCCCATAGCTTGAAGCCTGAGCAACTACTTTAAAGATAGCAACATGTAATGTATTAACTATTGTTATTTTCCTACAATTTTGTTAGGAAATTTTAACTTTTTTTCCAGAAAAAGTGTAATGTTTGTTGTCTTAAACTCTGAAGCTTTGGAGTAATATGTTATACAGCGATAGATACCTAATACAGGTTTTTTTTTTTTTTTTTGCTCCGAATGCCTTCAAGGCATGACTGGCTAGCTTGAGTTGTGGGGATCGAACCACAGCAACCTGAGCCTGACGGCTTTGTTGAAGCAGCCACTTAAAGAACTGAGCTAAGGGGCAGGCCCCCCTAATACAGGTTTTATCTACTCTGCTGCTCACCAGGAACTTGCCTTCTACAGGTACTGCTAAGGAAGGGGGCATCTCCCAATGACATAAATGGTGATTCTCCCGTGTCCCCTGTAAATTTATGTAAGCTGTTTACACCTGAATAGAGTCAGCCTGAATCTCCAAGGCTAACGCAACTAGAAATATCACCAACTGTCACATTTCAGGAAAGTTGCTCTTCTGAAGCCCTTGATTCAAGTTTTACCTGCCATTTTAAAGAGTTCTAGGAATCTTGTTCACACATTAATTGCTTTTAATTTCCTTGTCAGCTTTTGTGGTGTATGTCAGGTGAGAACACAAGATTAGAAACTAGCTTCCCTAATCCCCCAAAATGATTATTTTCTTCTTCATTGGCTCTTAAATTTTTGTTCATACAGAAAAAAGAATACCAACAAGTATACACTAAAACAGACAAGCATATGCCTACATAAAGATTACAAGTCCTACCCATTTCAAAGGCTCACAGCTATACAATGGATACAATTATGTGCACCTATAGTACATACATTGTTGGGATACGAAGGAGCTAAAATAGAGATGTACAGAATGACTGCAGTGCATCTGGGATGAGGAATAGAAAAACAGAACTGCAGCAGCAGAGGGAGTACTAGGAACAGCTGAAACTCCTCAAGGTCATCCTGTTTTTGTGCCCTTACTGCCAGATGCCTCGCAAGTTCTCATGATCTTAGGCACGCACAATAAGAGATTGTTTTGTGAACCAAAAGTAACCTAAAGGCTGAGACTCAATATACATAAAAATAAAGACTGAAGGTGGTGTGGCAGATGGAGTGTCCATGTGTCTTTGCTTGCGGCTGGCCTGTGAGTCTTTCCCAGCAGTACATGACAAGCATATACCACAGTGTTTTAACCTGTGTTCTAAATAAGATGAATAGAAATAATTCCATGCTTCTGGTATGCTTTTGGCATTTCACTTCCAAATAGTTCCTCTACTCCATGTTTGGCTGAATCCACTATTTATAGTATTTTTGCAAACATTCAGAGTTTTCCATCTCCATTATCTCTATTCCTATCCATGCCTCTTACATATACAAGATATAACTATGTTAATCCTGAATGCTTTCACTGTGGGTTTAGCCCTTTCCTTTGGACTACAATAAATAACTATAATATGATTGGATTTCTTTATCAATTCATAAATCCATTCTCCAGGAAGTGAATCCTCTTTCCTTTTGCCCAAATGAGATAATACATGTAAAAAAATCCACGTGTCATGATGCCTAGAATACATTATGCAAAAATGTTAGTTAATACTGTATTATTATTTTCCCTCTTAAGTAACGTGTTTGATTCATTAACAGTTCTCATCTCTTGCAAAATATCATAAACTATCTGAAGCAATAGGAAAAGTTCTTCTCAAGCTCTAAGTACACATAAGCATTTTATGAAAAGGTCTGAATTCTGTAGTGGGGAAAGGCGGGGTCGGTTGAGATTTGAGAAGCTTTGTGATAAGTTTTCAAAAGATGTTGATTCTACTGGTTTAAGAAGAACACTGAGTAGAAAGGTTCTAGAAGTTCTCGAAAATACAGTGAGAAATCCAAATACATGAAGGAAAGCCCAGATGTAAAACATATAAAAGAGATCATTTTTTATGGGTACTTAACTGATACTTACATAGCACATATGCTATTTAGAAATATTCGCTCGAGACAGACAATTCCAGGAAATAGAGCTCCAGTCACACATAGTATCCTATATATGACTCCAAAATAGATGGAGAGTTAATACAACATGAAAAGTTAAACTTAGAATAAGGAAATTTAATAGCAAAAGGCAGAATTATTTCTGGGAAATTAAAGCTTAAAGCAGACATTGTCTTTATATTCTGCAGGGGTTAAAGATAACTATATTTCTTGACATAGCTGCAGAAGAAGGAGGAAAGTTACACTATCCTTGTTTCAAACATATGACAACCAGGCAGAGAGACAATTTAGCTTGATTTTAACATGTCTTTCATCCCTGCCTGTGCCGTACACCTTATTCAGCAGTTGTGCAGACAGAGGGCTGCTGCTCCAAGCCCAGGATGATGATGTTTGCTTAAAATGACTTTGTCAGAAGTGCTCCTG